ATGTATTTCCAAATCAAATAAGAAATTTTTTAATAATACAAAAAAAAAAAAAAAAAAGGGGGGGGGAAAAAAAAAAGGGGGGGGATTAAAAAAAAAAAAAAAAAAAAAAAATTTTTTTAACCTTCCCCGGGGGGGGGTTTGGGAAAAATTTTAAACAAAAGGGGGGTAGGAAGCCATAGAATATGCAAACGTTAGGTTGTTTTAATCAATTATTGCATTTTTTATGTGACACTAAAGTGGTTGGAGCACCATCTTTAGTAAAAAAGTGTGATACATATATAATGTCCCACTGATTAAAAATATTGATTGAAATATGTATTTCCAAATCAATTTGTACTATAGGGTTCCAAAAAAGTGCACCGATTCTTTAAAGTCCGGTACTTGCGAGACTTCTGTCAATGTGAGTGAATAGGCGGCGCGAGCCTACTACCCGTTTACGCCTATAAAAATATAAAATTTTATTTTATAGCTATGACAAATTCTAATATAATGTTATATGTACAAGGGTGATTCAAAGAAACATTATAGCTTCGGGCGGTGCCGTTCGGTGCCCACTAGACCTAATTACCACTTCGTGGAAGGCTCCCTTCGTTGCGTTGGTATTTCACTCACTGCGCGATGACCGCTTTTTCAAATATCACAGTGTAGTGTGTGACTAATCTATTCCTATTGTGAATAAGAGTCAAAAGCGTAAGAATTTGCATTCAGTCTTGGCTTTGAAGTGAGATTCGGAGTTGTCATTTAGGTCTGTGGACTCGTGTCAAATTAATTGGATTTGACGTATGGAAGTCATTTAGCTGATCTCACTGGTCTGGACTCTTGTCCTTACCCGAAAATTGATGGCGTGGGTCAATCACAAGGGCTGATCGCTGTCTTTTTGTATAATAGGAGGCAAATGGGCAGGAGGCTCACCTGATGTTAAGTGATGCGCCATGGCCATGCCAGAAGGGTCAAAGTGGGGGGGGGTTTTTAAAATTTTCTTTGTGGGACTTATCGAATTGGTTGGTAATCATTATGGGTAGTGGTTAATATTTGGTGGGGAAAATGATAAGAAACGCTGTTGTGGAACGGCGGACGTCGGGGTGATACGGATGGCCTAATTTATTTAACCATTTTATAAGGTCGGGGGGGGTTGGGGAAAGATTTTTTTTTTAAATACTTGTTAAAATGTTGCATTCAGTCCAGGATACAGGGGGGGGGGGGGGTTTCTCCCCCGGGAAATTTAAAAAACTGTCAAATATACATAAAAAGTCGTTAAAAAGGCCGGCAACGTCTTCACCCTCTGGCATTCAGGTCGATGGGCGGTATCACTCCTTCTGCACCTTGCAAATCGGTTTTGGCAGCGGAGACTTTACGATTCAAAGCAGTCATTTTAGATTTGGCATTTGATAAACAATAAAATAAGTAGGAGGATTGGATGATAAGGATATCAGAATGCCAAATCATAAAATGACTGCTTCACAACTGATATGAGCGCGACCGCCGCTGCGAAAACCGCTGTGAGAGTTCGAAAAGTAAGTTACAGAATCGCAAGGCTGTTCTATAAAAAAGGACAAATATCAAGGATAACAGACGAACAAATATAGAATCAACGGCCAAGGTAGTGTTGATTTCCTTATGCCTCATAATCTATGGGCAGTTCTTGTCTATGAATGTCAGTATTGTCATAAAACATAGGTCTTAAGCAAGCAAAGCGGTAACACGATTCCGCGAAATAGCTGTTCAGCTTTTTCTTAACGTTCGTTCACATTACACATTACACTTTAACTAATAGTTAATAATAACTAAAAGTCAAACTTGTCTCTGTAAAGTAATGCGAAATAAAATAGAATTTTTGAAAAGTTTATGAAATAAAATGCTCTGTTTTTTTTTATTTGTAATTCCTAAAACAACAATTATAATTAAAATATACAAGAAAATTTGTGAAGTGTATATATACACATCAATTTTATTAGAACATAAAAATTACAAACTAGAGTTATGTAACCTAACATTAGTTAAGTTGTAAGTTAGTTAGTTAGTTAAAAAATGGCGATTAAAAAGAGTGGTGGAGAGTTTATTTCCAGTTCTTCTCTTAAGAAAAAAAGACCGCGAAAAGTGATAAATACACGAAATCCACACGTTTATGACAGTACCAAAATGGAGCAGGCAGTAAAACTACACAAATCTATGGTTAATTTATTAAATGATTTTAATTAATAAATATCATAATATTTATGTTTATTTTTATTTAGGGTTATTTAAAGTTGTTTTTAATATCAATGTTTTTCATACAGTATGGTTATTTATATATTTTTTAATTTCATGAATTTAAAAGTAAATATGTCAAAAAATAGCCGGAATGTACAATAGTCTGTGTATGATGCGAACTTCGTGGAATAGACCTTTGTTGATCGTATAACATTGTGTTTAATAATTTGTATCAACTGAAAATGGTCGGTTTAAAATATTTACGAAAAACAAGGCGTTGTCAAAAGACTTAGCCGGAAGGCGAATCAATTAAAAAGAAAACATTTACAGTAGTCTGTGGATAAAACAGGTCATAGAAGTTACGTTCCTAATTCAAATATTAGTAAGAGGAGGAAGTGAATTCAAAAATCGAAATGCGCTTACCTGCAGAATGATGCACGAATGATTTGTGGCGGATCGCAGGTCAGAGACCGGTTTGGTAACGATGACCTCATGTCCTTTTAATTCTTTTTGCTGCCTTCATGGATCTGTTCTGATTTTTAAACCTTTAACAAAAACCTCTATGTTTTGTCTTTATCACTCGCGTCTCAGATAAATATAGTCCATAATAAGCTATAAGGATGTTGCGAATACAGTAAAGCTTTTCTCGGTAAATAGACTAATAATTTTTTGTTAGACAAATTATGTTGATATTGATGTCTTCTATAAAATTGTGGTACAGCACTTTGCTCTATTGTCAATAATTACCGCAGCGTATGCGATTTAGGAATGTTTATTAGCATGTTTCCAACTTTACACTATCGTAATTTCATAGAGAATCGTAAAATATTCTATAGCCTATGTTCATTTGGGATTGGAAAAATAATTTTTCAAAGCATTCCTGTAGTTTCGCAGCTTAGTCAATGCAAATAAACAAAGAAACAGTCAGATCTTTCCTCTTTATAATTTTAATAATTAAAAATGCTGTGTTTGTTCTCCGTACTAAATAATAAAGAAAACATATTTTTATGAATCAGCTGCTTACTTTAAAATTTTGGTCCTTGTGGCAACTATAACGCAGTCCGAGTATACCGAAATCACGTTGTAGGGTTTTTATCGTAAATGAGTTTTTTTTTAATTCAAAAGCTAGGAAAACGAACGAAGCAATATAAGTAACTAAAATTAATTCTTTGCCTATTAGATAACGGAGCAGATACAGAAATCTGAGGCCATGACCTAAAAGGTTGTAGCACCATTGGTATATACGAAGTACGTCGTCATCTTGATGTCCCGAGACTAGTGGACCAATGAAACAATATATACACGATGACAGAGTCTTACATGGTAAACTGGTGCCTCATCATTTGGTGATGATGCTGAGGACATCTACCTTATACACAGTTAGAGATCTCCTTGAGTGATGAATGTTGTTGAAACGTTTGATAGATTCTCGGAATTAATTCCGTGCGAATTCGGCCATTACCGAGAATGCTTTGTTTATTTTTTTAAACCGTTTTACGCAATTGCGAGGAACAATTTGCAGCTGGGAGTACAGATAGATAGCAGATAAAGTGCAGATATAGGAATTTGTTATCTATTTATCTATATGATACGGTAATTTTATAATTATCACGCCTTTTTCCCGAAGGGGTAGCCAGAGACAACGATCCTCCACTTGCGGTCCCTACCGCTTCAACTATCGTGACATTTAGTTTATTGCCAGCTCTTCTCTTCCGTTCTACGCCCTTGATTTGAGAACTGGCAGTAAATGAAAAATTAGAAGCATTTAATGTATATTTTTTTGACGTTCTTATGTACATTGTGTTGCCTATATGAATAAATGATTATTGACTTTTGACATTCACTATGCATGCTCATTGGTTATGGGTACTTTTAACTTGTTCCTCTAGTACAGTGTTACCTAACCTTTTTTGTGCTATATATAGTCTTTCTAAAATTCTTCTGCTCCATAAGAAATTTTTAATTTTAAGATTTAAATTGTTAACTTAAGAAACTTAAATTATTTTAGGAAGAAATCAATAGGAAATTGTTATCGAAAAAGTAAATTATCAAAACGTATAATGAAATACAGAAATCCAAATAATTTTATTAAATTTTCGAATAGCGTCCTTAACAATCAAATTTCCCCATGTGGGGTGTGGGCCCCTGAAACACTGCTCTAATACGTCCTGGATTTGGTTTCAGTCCAAAGTCAATGTAAATAATTTAATTCTTAATTAATTGATTTTGAGCAGTGTTGGCCTAGTGGCTTCACCGTGCGACTCTCATCCATGAGATCGTAGGTTCGATCCCTAGCTTTGCAAAAATGGACTTTTTATGTGCGCATTTAACACTAGTACAGTGAAGAAAACATCGTGAGAAAATCGGCCTTATATCGAAAAAAGTCAGGACGGCGTGTGTCAGGCATAGGCTGATCCAGACCTATAAAGATACAAAAATCTGAGGCCTAGACCTAAAAACTATTGTAGCGCCTCTGGTTTGTTTTCATTTAATTGATTTTATGTGTACTTGACGTGTTCACATAGGACCATTTTAATTGTACTAATTTGGGGCCCAAATAAAATGTTTACTTTTGTATATAGAACAAATAGCAAACGGGATGGGACTGATAAGTGATACCCTCAATGCCTGAAGGTCGCGAGTGCGTTGACGGCCTTTTAAGAATTGGATCGGAAATAAAAACTACAGAAAATATAGAATTACTGCACTTTCGTGGTCCTAGGTACGATTTAAAAATAATACAGGTCAATAGACACAGAATTGTCTCAAGAGATTGCTGGAATTTCTAAGACGTGGGTGGTATCGCACAGATGTTCGAAGCCTTCGAAAGTCACGATTTCCTCGTTAGTGCATTAGGGTGATTATACATGAAACACTTTTTAATGCTTGCGATTGTGTACTTGCGGTATTATTTAATATATGTAGATCCAGCTGCCCAATGAAGTATTTCCGAACCAATTCGACTTGGGAAGACAAGATCCTATTAATTATTAAAAGGCCGGCAACGCACTGGCCAGTCCTCTGGCATTAGGATTGTCCAATGGCAGTGTTATCATTTGATATCAGATGAGCCTCCTGCCCGTTTTGACCCTGTTCTATAATTAAAATAAATGATACATTTAAAAAAAACACGCATGAAACACAAAAACAATTTAAATCTTGAATCCACTTGAACACGAAAATTTCATCAAATTCGATTTAGCCATTGAGCTTAGTGGTGAGCCAGCTAACTTTGGGTCCTTTTCGAACCATATCGCAAAATTTGAGTTGTTATGTTTAAAGTTTCATTGAATTATATCGCCCGGAAGAATATAAGTGAACGAATAAAAACATTGAATTCTCGTCATCAACATCTATATCATATATTATTCATAGCCTCATGAACGCCATCTAAATTGCCAAATCTCAAATCAAGTGTAGAACGAGAAGAACTGGCAATAAACTCTCCGTCACTGTCAAATCTTTAAAGTTTTACAAAGTGTACGAGAATTTTTAAATTAAGATAATACCATATCTAAGTTTTACGCTAATGTTGAATGTAAAAAAAGATGTTGCGTGACAATTATGGCACACTGTGTCGAACGCCTTAGTGAATCCGATTCGAGGGAGCATTAACAGATGCAATACGGCAATTCCAGTATAATGCTAACAATTACCGCTAATTCATGTATGACGTAATTACAAACGCCCGGTTTTAACTACCAGTCGTAATTGGTATGTAGATTTTATTTTAATTCAAATGTTGGGAAGGACCCAGCGCTTTAACGATTTCTAGGGTGACCATCGTTTCCTTTGACTGAAACGAAAGTGACTATGAGTCCCGAATGTAAAAATCAAGGGGGGGGGAAAGGCTTTTGAAAAAATCCTGGTGTGCGGGTGTCCATGGGTGGCGGTAAACATGGCGGTGACCCGTCTGCTCGCTGTCCTTCTGTTCCAAAAGAAAATGGAAATCGGCAACATCAGCGAGAGAAAGCGAATCTGGCGCCATTAAACGGACAGTCTTGGAATTAAAAATACAGATAACAATTATTCGTATTAAATAAAACTTTAAAATATTTTACTGAATTTATATAATTTCGCAAAATTATTAGTTTTAAACTATAATATTTGAACTTAAATCGTGTATTTACTCTCTTAAATTGATATTGTCCACAAATTATTAAAAAAGTTTTCTCTATACCAAAGACAATGACAAGAACTTTCTGACATCTTCGGAATTGGACCTTACAATTAACACTTTGTACCTATGTGATCTGTGGTCTAATTCGCAGAAATAATGCATTTCCCACTTTTAAAATATCATATCAATATCATAATTACCATTTTCCTGTATCATTAATTTATGAACATATAATTGTTATTTGTTTTCTTATTTATTTATTTCGTAATCCTACAGCTTACATAAATTATATATAATAAAAAAAAATATAAATAATAACTAAAAATATAGTCAAAGATATATTAATATATAAAAAAGGTTAAAACATTAACGAAAGGAAAAAAATCAATAAAAATGATTAAATACATTTAACTAAGTAATACCCAATTCGGCTATCCTAATCCTTGGGTTTGATTTGCTCCAGCTAAAACAATTTGTATGACTCAAAACTTGGCGATTAAAAAGAGTGGCGGAGAGTTTCTTGCCAGTTCTTCTTCGTTCTACGCCCTTGACATGCGTACTGGTAGTAAACGTAAATTTAGAATCAATTTAACATCTTTTCTGTTCACATTCATAAGTGTACTTGTTTACCTAAAGCTATTTTGAGTTTGAATATGTCACTTTATACCGATGTTTTTGTATGTTCCTTCTTTTTTTACAGTTTTTTTATTTTCAGGTTCAAAGATGGCGTTGCGTATCCATGGTCTACTGGGGTGTCTAACTTGATCCTCTACCCTGAGGCAGCCAATCAAACGCTTTACACACGTCGAGCAGCTCAGTCAGATTCCGGAAATTACACTTGCAGACTCAGCAATGAATCCAATAGTGAAACGCACACAGTACGCCTAGATATATTAGGTATATCTTTTATATATAATGATAACATTATTTACCTTTGGTACCAGAAATGGAAGCTCCCCAGAGATATACCTGATGAAGAAACATGTGTACGAGAAATTTATATAATTACAATTATAAAAATCCGCACAATTGGCCGTATACAAATAGGCATGCAAATGTCATATAAATTTTCATTAAGTTTTATAATAAGAATACACAATGTCATGATAATAAGTTAAGCTATTTATAATTAATTGTTGTCATACATACAAATACATTGAAGCAAAATTAAATTGAAATCTATTTATTCTTATTATATATTCGTTATCTTGACAATTTTATAACAACGTTGTTATATCCAAAAATTTTCGCGAATTGGATTTGAAGGAAAAATAAAATAAATAAACATTTTAGAATTTCGCTTTTGTGAACGTGTTTTGGCTTATTATAATGATGTTAAATTGTTTTTAATAACAATTAATTTCTAACGCTGTCAACCATCGTTATTTGGTGATGATGGAGCAATTATAGAAAACATCTCTCTCTTCAAGGGAACGCCAACATGTCGTGGAAGAAATGTGTTCATATTAAAAACAGTAGCAGCTTTAACCCTTGATAACCCACAGGTTTCTGTGTCAATTGCTTGATAACTTTTTTTTAAGTGAGTAGGTGATCGGCCTTCTACCGGCCCCCCCTTTGTGGTGGTCCCTCCCGCCCCCCCCCCCCCCCCCCCCCCCCCCCCCCCCCCCCCCCGGCCCCCCCCCCCCCCCCCCCCCCCCCCGGGGGTCCCCCCCCCCCCCCCCCCCCCCCCCCTTTTTTTTTTTTGGGCGCTTTTCACCCCCCCCCCCCCCCGCAGGGAAAACTTTGGGGGGAAACCCCCTTTTTTTAGACCCAAAAGTCGACGGCGTGTGTCAGACACTGGAGGCTGATCACCTACTTGCCTATTTGATTTAAAAATGATCATAAAACAGATTCAGAAATCTGAGGCCCAGACCTAAAGAGGTTGTAGCGCCACTGTTTTTTATAATTTTCATGTATTTTAGAATAGATTGTAACATAAACGGTAGATAAAGCATTAAATATGATGAGGTGTACTTTAATTAATAAATATTAATAATGTTGATCTTAATATTAACATTAAGGAAATTAACATTAAATTTTCATTTCGCAGAAAAGCCGACTGACGCGCCTAAAACGATGTTTATCTCCAAGGATCAGTGGGTGGAGGAGGGGAGTGGATTACGCCTCTTCTGCGAAGCTCTTATTGGTAATATTGAATTACATTAAAAGCCAAAACAGATAACTAGGTATACCTGATACTAAAAGCTTTTTGAGAGACGAGCGATCAACTCATTGCCAGAAGTCACGCCTCTGCATTATCTAACATGACATTGGCTGTCACAAATTCAATGATTAACTGAATATGTATGAATAGATTGATAGTTTGTATTGAACTAACTTGAAACGTACTCCATTTCTTTCACCACAAACAATATATAAATGTCGGAGCAATTGCTTTACTGTCAACTGTCATTATGGCACAGGGCTTGTAAATTGTGAAAGTTTTCTTTTTTTGTCAAGTTTTTACGCCAATGTAAAGAAACTCCTGTTTCTTTTGCAGTTTTTTTACAGTTAAAACAATTATGATTTAAAAAAAAAAGAGTGGCGGAGAGTTTATTGCCAGTTCTTTTCTTCCGTTCTACGCCCTTGATTTGAGAACTGGCAGGAAATGTAAAAATAGAAGCATTTAATATGTATTTCTTTATTGACGTTCATAAGTGTTCATTGTGTTACCCAAATGAAAAAAATATTTTTAATAAAAATATATTTTATGAAGAAGCTCCCATAATTGTCAGGAGCTACATTGATCCCCTTTTAATCTGAAGTTAACATCGAGGATACCACGTTTTCCTGTTAAAACTTTTGCTATTCCCTTTTATTGACCCGTCCTGGATTCTAACTCTATTTCTGTAATATGAGTTAGCCAATGAATGTTTAAATTGACCTCTAACACACAGTTTCGATGAACTATCTCCAAATTACAATGAGTTTTGTATTTCTTGCTTTATTAATCATTTATTTATAGTTTATTAGTTATAGTTATTAAGTACAAAGCATGCTGTGTTTTAAATATGCAATTCGTTTTTTTTGTTTCTAGTTGTAAGATTTTAATGCCCGTTGGCAACGCTGTCTAATAAAATGTCTAATAATGTAAATAATTCTCGACTCCACCACTTGAACACACAAAAATTCATCATAATCGGCCGTTCAGGAGTTTAATTACGAACACATGCACAGAAGATTTATATATATAGATAAATAAACTAGATACCGACCACAGCTGACAGCGCCATCTGCTGGGCTGATTTGTGAATCTAAACCATCCAAGGCGCCACCCAAACGCATTAAAAAAAAAATCATTCAAATCGGTCCAGCCGTTTAAGAGAAGTTCAGTAACATACGCACGTAAGGTAGAATTATATATAAAGATTGAGCTTTTATTTAATACTTGGAACCAAGGGCGAACAGAGAGCTTTCTAATGTTGAAAATGATATTCTATAAAGGCGAGAATATTTAATTACATTTAACACTTAGACTTTATACATCGTATTACAGGTAGATCGTACTTGGCCGACGCACGGAGTGACCTTCGCTGGTGGAAGATGTGGTCTAATGGTACTGAGGGAGACTTGTTACCGTCGCAAAATGAAGTGAAGACTGTCAGGTATTATATATATCAGAGCATTAAAGCTACGGGGTATTTGATTATTGTTATCATTTCTATTTCAAATGAATTGAAAACGTCAATGTCAAATCAGTGATTCTAAAGTCGTTGTTATTGACAAATGGCGTCGCTGTCAGCTGCCACTGTCATAATACACCACAGAGCTTGTAAATTCACAAAAACAACTGTTTCAGTTCGCACTAGTCTATGCAAATATTAATTATTTAATATGTTATGTTATAGCGATTCCATATTTATTAATTTATTAGTATTCAATCTTTGAATCGGAAAGTCAACCAATATTAAAGATCACTCGGCACTCGTTCGACTCCCGTTCAACTTTGTCGTATGTGCGGGTTCCGTTGCCGAACGATGACACCAAGTGTCATGGAACTTGTTTATGACAAGTTCGGGTTGCTATACATACAGGCAGTGCTTGGTATAGGTATGTTAACTAAAGCTGGCGGCTTCAACACATTTACACTTTGTGCTTGTGTAGTGTCTGTGAATAAGCGCGAGACGTGATGTCCAACTGAAATACAATCATAAATACATCATGAATAGACTGTCCGTCGTTATGAGTGGACTAAATGTATAGCATGGCAAAAAAATCATATTTTGAAACATACTGTATGTGAAATTGCATTAGTGTGAGTACTGTGAACCCGCCAGCTTTCGATAACCGACCTATATATGCCACATACTTTTCTTGGCCGGAAAGAGCGTCTCTGTCATGGATATTAATATTGCCAGTAAATAAAAATTAACCATTATAAGGGAAATAATTTATTGAAAGTCTTAAAAAACAATGTATACTGAAAAAATACAGTTCTAGGCTTTAATAAATGTGACAAATCTTTAGGAACAATTGATATGATAGGTTTTGTTACCAGTAACTATAAATATATTTTAAGGTACCTAGCAATCAGAACCGTTCGATAGTAAAAACTTTGCCATTGTAATTAATAATGCAAGAAATAAAAAATACATTTTAGTTAAATTTTTATTAGATGTTGGTAGGTAGTAAAATTATTTATTGTGCCAAAGAAATTTGTTTGACATTTCAAAATGGCGACGGTAGTACCAATTTCAGCCGCCGGCCAAGAAATGTATGTGGCACTGTACGGTCCTCAGCCCAATAACTTGACACATGACATTGTGTCAGTGTCAGCGTTAGTGACAGCAATTAGTACACTTTGGATGGACCCCAAGTGAAGAATAGATGTGGAATCTTCACGGTCTTGACACGACATTCAAACTTATCTTTATAATTCTTTTTCAGAGATGACATAGAAGATATAATCGGTTCATATCTAAGTATTGAAAAATTGTCCGCCCAAGACTACGGGACGTACGTGTGTGTGGTACACAGCAATGATGTTGTGTCTAGGAGCTATGTTACCGTTCATTATAAGAGTAAGTTTCTCTTCTTATCTCTTTCTCTAATACAAAAGAGAATGAAGAACGTATTAGATGGAAGGCATAGAGGAATGTCTCTTGTTAATTGTCAATAACCCAATGATTTTTTCTTGTAAATTGTCAATGAATAGAAAATTTTCTTGTCAATGAATAAATTAAGTAAAGTTAATGATTTAGAGTCGAAACAATATGTCAAAATCCAATACGTTTTTATATTTATTTATTCCAATAAGTTAATTATGCAGCAAAAAGAGTTTAACTATGGTTTATTAAATAGTACTATGTTAAGTAGATTATAGAAAACGGTGGTCATAGACAAGAAGTTCGATAATTCCAGATATTAACCTAATATAGATAAAAAACAGTTAAAATTAAAATTAAGAATTTTTAGTAATATTTTTTGTTATTCATTACCTTTTAGATCGAGAATGGTTAAGTTCTGAAGTCTGGTGTGGTACCAGCGAAATCAATTGGCATACGATAACCTTGGGTGGGGCTGCGGCAGTTTTGCTGCTGATATCAGCGCTGGTGCTGCATCGGCGTTGTACACCGCGGCTGCTGCTCGCTGCTCGGCAGGCTCGGGCAAGAGCGGCGGCTGCCCAACATAGAGCTAGAGGTATATATAATTCAAATCCCATTTTTTTAATTGTCTATACTTGGATATCTATATACAGGCATTCCTCGACTTACGTCGTTTCGATTTACGTCGATTCAAGTTACGTCGAACAAATGTTTTGACACTTTCGGCATACGTGAATTCACTACTCTTGTGCAAATTTGGAGAGTGCCATGAAAATTTTTGAAGAAAATGATCCTAATTTTGAGAGAAGTTTCAACGTTAATAACAAAATTTGTGCAGCCTATCAGTGTTACCAAGATCTGTATGATAACAAGAAGAAAGAAGCGAAGTAATCTAGAATTATAGTTTCTTTAAGCCAAAAGTTTAATTTATTATTTCTCATTACATATTAAAGTTTTATAATTATTATTAAAATTAATAACACACAAATACAAAAAATAAGTGCGTTTCATAATTATTTTATTTTAAGAACTTACTTTTGAAATAAATGCAGTTTTTTTTTAATTTCGAGTCCATGTGTAACCTAACCCTTGAGTTTTACATGTAAACATACGAAAATACCGTTTTTCCAGTTCTTGAGAAAGAATTCGACGTGTTGGTCTGTTGGACGTCCGTGGATGCCGAATTGGTCCGTGGTGCCTTACTCCCGACTTTGGCCTGCAAATACAATTATCGCGTACACACCGCGGTGCTCTCCACCAGCCCGGATAATTGTGAGTTTTTATTTTTAATTCAAAAGGTTGAAGCTGTGTGCTATATTTGTGGGGAATTAATTTTTTTTATAATTTTTGGTTTTAATCACCATAAGATGGCTTACTTACTTACTGACTTGATTACTTACACACTTACCGACTTACGCACTGGCTTACTCACTTACTTAATGGCGTACTCACTTACTGACTTATCGACATACTTACTGGCTTACTCACCTAGTTACGCACTTACTTACACACTTACCGACTTACGCACTGGGTTACTCACTTACTTACTTACGCACTGGCTTACTTACTTACGCACTTACATACTGGCTTACTTACTTACGCACTTACATACTGGCTTACTTACCTACTGACTTACTCACCTACTTAAACACTTACTGACTGGTAAGGTAACTTTTAAGTTTAATTAAATATATAATTTCATAATTGTTTATCCTATGGGTGTATTAAGGAACTATCCGTTGATAAGATTTTGTCTATGTACATGCGTGTAGTATACAAATCCATGACTTACTGTCAATTAATTTGCAGGGTACAAGGAAATAGTATGCGAAGCAGCCCGTTGTCGTTCAGTAGTGGCAGTCTTGTCACCAGCTCAATACTCTTCTCCTCACCAGTTGCTGACGGCTCTGTGCCAGCTCAGGGCGTTGCCTCAGCCACCTGTTGTTGTCTTGCTACAGGTGAGATTTCACATATTATTTCTTTGATACAAACATTGAAGTATATGTAATGTTTTTTATTCTGTTAAAGCAATCATAATTTCTAGAACCAGCCAAAACATATATCTAAGCAAGATGGCGTCACACCATGTGACGTACCATGCTTGTAAACACAAATAAATAAATTCGAGTTTCTTATGTGTTCATTATTATTCTTAAAATACCTATAGTATTTTTCGCTAAAAATAGTCGAAATTACACTTCAAGTATTTGGATTAGACGAAGACATTATTTACAAGTATTACGAAGCTTCAGATTGCAACTGAAATATTTCTGCAATAAAATACGAAAAGAAACCAGTCACTTTTCGAGCGGCTTGATCCCTTGGCGTTGCGTAGAGTTGTTGGGTCTCTGCATCTTCTACCGCATTTACCATGGAGTGTGTTCAGGGAGTTGTTTGGACTGAATACAAAATACCATCCGTATCACCTCGATGTCCGCCGTTCCACAACTGAGCGTTTTTCAAGGCAGTTTTTGCCGCGCACCACCACTATGTGGAACCAGCTGCCCACTGAAGTATTTCCGAACCAATTGGACTTAGGGTCTTTCAAGAAAATAACGTACCAATACACTTACGAACCTTCTGGCAGTGTGTGTCCATGGGCGGCGGACACTTAACATAATATAATCATATATCACTATAATCTTAGTTTATATATCACTTAACATAAGATGAGACTCCTGCCCCTGTGTTATAAAAGTACGCAATTTCTGGCGTTATACAGAATTGTCTATGGAAATAAACGTTAAATTGTATGGAGCTTACACTGTATATCTCCATTTTAGATATTAAAATAGAACCAAAAAATTTCAGGACCTGCCAAAGTTGAAGCGCGAAGCGAAAGATGGCGGCGAACGTTTCGTGGAAGTGGTTAGGCGCACGCGTCTCATCCCCTGGCGTCATGTTCACGATCGCTCCTTCTGGACAGCATTGAGACTGGCTTTGCCACTTCCACCGGCCAATGACGCCTCACCACAGCACGTAAGACTCTTAGAAACATTTAAGAAATCAATATGGTTGAATCAAAGAGGTTCCAATTCTACTTTTTACTTTAAGCTCATTTATATAATCATTGACAAGGTAATATGTAAAAAGTTTAGTATCAAACGAAGCTTGCCTTTTCTTTAAAAATTAGTTTTTTAGGTGTGTAGCATATAATATATAAAATATTTATTATCTTAAAATGCATATTTGAAACTGGCATAAAGTCAAAACTATTGCCATAATATAAAAAAATTCAAAATCATTTCAAATTTATTTTAATTGAAACTTTATCGACATCTTTTTGTCGTTTTACTCGTTTCGCGCGTATGTGTGCGTGCACGTAACCTGGAAGTAGCGCGTGCGCCAGTGTGCTTTGTGACTTATTGGATGCCAAATGTTTGTTTCAAATGTTACCGACATACTTGGCACTAAGTTTCGTCTCTGAGTATTTCTAGCAATTCTTGTCTAAGCCTTGAATTCTCTTACAGGAAAAATCGTCCAACCCAGCGGACCAGGATTGTAAAAACGCGCGTTCCGGAAGTCTGACAGCACTTGTATGAGTTTAATTGTTTGCGCGATGTGTAATAGTGTTTTTAGTGTCTGACACTAGTGCTAATCGAAGACTGTTGACACTTTCTCCGTGTCGAAAATGTCGTATAACTCGGTGTATTTCGATTTAGGCCCGTCAACTTAAATTTCGAGAGCTGTCAAGCCATTTTGACATTTCCCGATTATTGATTTTTACGGGCCTTAGAGTGAAAATGAGATTAACCTTTTAAGACAAATGAATAGTTTTCTGAGATCTCGTTGTCTTCTTATGAATTTCTCTTTTCTCTTTCTCGTGCCAAAGGGAAATGAACATGACAATTTAAAATTTTCGGTTGTAATTTCTAGTATTTATTTTATTTATCTTTCGAATTTTAGCCCATTTGCGATTGTCAACTTTACAATTGACATTATCAGCGATTGTAAACTTTACAATTGCTATTATCAGCGAATATAAACTTTACAATTGACATTATCGCCCATTGTGAACTTTACAATTGACATTGTCCGCGGTTGTCAACTTGACTAGACTGTTGACTTGACTTCATTCAACTTTTTTTTAAATCTCTCATACGTTCATATAAACAGTTAGCCAAGGCTGTCAGCCAGTGACAATTGACAGTCATTGTAATTTGCAATCGCATCTATCGGGCTAGCATTAGGATTGACCGAAGCCAAGAATACTTTTCGACGGGCTATCGCTGGAAATGGTCATATGGTCAAATGGTTACATAGCGTATATTTCTATACAGTTTTGATGAATTTTACGATAGTTATATCAGTGTATGTATGTTTTTGACAGTTATAAACGCGTTTCCATACAATTTTACCACACAATTACGTATTCAGGACTGTCGAAGAGAATTCTTGTCTAAAGATCAACGCCTAATGTTATTCTCAAAATTGAGAACCTGTCCATTTCTTAGTAATATTTAAATGTTAGCTTATGCATGCGTTTCTAGGACTAAGGGAGCTTTGTGTATGATTTAAATATGGCATACGGAAGTTCAAATATATTTAAGCGAATATTCAAGGAAAATACATTTTTGCTGAATATATCACAATTGATATTTAACATAAAAATTGTGGTAATCACATGGTATTGTCATAATTCGTATCGCGTATAAAGAATTTCGACAATTTTTAAACCACGCACCGTTATTCGTACCAAAAGTTTTTTTTTACAGTTATTCACAACCTACTTTCTGGAAGGACTTTCTTTTCAAAAGCTTTTTAGTTACTGATTATAAAAACCTTTTATCATTAAATTTTAATTAAATAAGTCCCAGTTGACCAGGCTTTTGACAATTTTTCGAACACGCACCGTTATTCGTAGCAAAAAATTTTTTACAGTTTTTCACAACCTGTTTCTAGATTTTCAGTTCGAATCGACTTTCTAAAACGTTGATTAGATTAGTTACTGATTTAAATAGCCGTTTATCATTAAATTCGTATTAAAATAAGTCCCAAAATTTTGCAGGTTTGACCCCCATAAACGTATTACTGAGACATAAATTGTGATAATGTATTTTCTTTGAGTTAACTTGAACGCACACGCTCGATGCCTATTTGAATGTCTGTATGAGAATGGTTTAAAGGTCTGTGATAAAAGTTTGGTTGTAAGATGGCTTGTATCATTTCCGAACACCAATGTTATTCAAAGAATAACTTATAATTAGCCCTTACCACAAACTATTCGATAGTAACGCGTATTCGTAAACGATGTTTGTAGCGCCTAACGCATTCGAATTGTCCTGTTTAGTTTTCCACTACTCGAATGAACGTATAGTTTGTGCTAAGCGTACTCTCTAGTATTTTATACAGTATTCATGTAAATAATTTTGTAAAGTATTTTTAAAGGTGAGAAATTTTGTATTTTTTACATTCCGACTCTTTGTTTCAAATGTGGATACTCAGTTACTTAATAAACAATTGTAAAATTGATGTGTGTTTTATTTTAAAACCCCCTATTGTAGAGAGTAGTGTTGGCCTAGTGGCTTCAGCGTGCGACTCTCAATCCCTGAGGTCGTAGGTTCTATCCCCGGCTGTACACCAATTGACTTTCTTTCTATGTGCGCATTTAACATTCGCTCGAACGGTGAAGGAAAACATCGTGAGGAAACCGGCTTGCCTTAGTGTCGCCGCACACGGGCCACACGCGACAGCCACAAACGCCGCCACGAGAAGCTAGAAGTGGCTACAAAAGGTAGCTGAAGCACGCGACAGCCACTTGTGGCCGGTGGTCGACACTTGCGGTCGGTGGCTGCTACTTTTTTTAACCCTTGCCTGCAGTATCATAATGGACTTTGACGAAGAAGGTTTAATTGCGCTACTTTTGATAAAAAGACGTCGTCGTAGAAGACGAAACCGTAGTTATTGGATACACAGAAAGACATAAAATATTCCCCCCTCACCACGACAAGTCGGTAATCGACAACCATTGAACTATACATTTGTTGGTGATGAAGCATTTGGCCTCAGTGAAAATATGATGAGGCTATATGCTTGAAAATATTTTGACTTAGACAAAAAAGTTTTCAATTATAGGTTAAGCCGTGCCAGACGTTGCATTGACTGTACCTTCGGCGTACTAGCAAACAAATAGAGAATATTACATCGCTCATTAAACACTTCTGTTCATTTCTCAGAAGACATTGTGAAATCTTGTTGCATTTTGCACAACTTTATTCGCAAAAGGGATGGTTTCAATTTTCGTCACTCTTTGAAAATAGTGGGACTCGAAAATATACAAAATACAAGCTGGCCACTAACACGAGCGTCTACTGCAAGAGATACGTTAAAAGATTATTTTATGAATGAAGGAGCAATACCGTGGCAAGAAAATAGAATATATGGTTTTATATTAATTTCTTAAACTTACCTTCAATGTTCTTTTCTTTGGCAGTTTTATTCGAAAAATTTCCCACAAACAATTCGCAGATTTCTTCCCAGGCCTTCACTTTTTCCTTTCTATTACTAAAACTATCACTTTTTGAATCCCAAATCGCAGGACGGGATTGTATCTCTGATATAAATAATTCTATATCCATATTTATCTACCTAAATGAACCACAGACTACGTGCGTGCGTTACCGTCGACTTCAGGTTAACTGAGGTAAGGGAGAGAGGGGCGCGGAATCGCGCGAGTGGCGTGTGGCGGCTTTTTGTGTCGGCGTTAAGTGGCCGGTGCGAGCCACAAGAAGCAAGCTGCGACGATTTGTAGCGTGTGGCCGCTACCGGAGCCAACCGTGTGCGGCGAGTCCATATAAAATGTATGATAATTACAGGAAATATGCCAGTGGCGGCGTTTTGTGGTTGTTGCCGGTGGCCCGTGTGCGGTGACCCTTAGATCCAAAAAGTCTACGGCGTGTGCCAGGCACAGAAGGCTGATCACCTACTTGCCTATTAGATTGACAAATGATCATGAAAGAGATACAGATATCTGAGGCCCAGACATAAAAGGTTGTAGCTCCATTGATTTATAATTTTTATTATTCAAAACGCTCATATTATAGAATAACTGAAGAAAATGGTTTTCATATGATCTAAGGAAATTAAAAATCCGTCATACATGAGTAACCTTTACCCGTTTACGCAACGGAATCTCTCAATGAGCTAAAATTTGTTGCGTTATTTGCTATAAGAAATTTAATTCGATGGCTATCATTCAACAGGGAGGGAGGGCGCCACAGAGCCACGGAGTACTTCGTATCCGCAAATAAAAAGCTAAAAACACTTATTCAAAGTGCAAAAAGTGATAAAAAAGTTTTAAAATCTATAAAGTACAGTTAGTGTCACCAAAACAATATTAAGAACAAAGTGAATACCAATTAGTGACTTTTAAGAAAACCTAAGTATTAAGGTGAACAACAATTAGTGAGAAAAGACTGACAAATCAAACAAAAAACAAAACAAAGACACTACACAGTGCATTACGTAATTTGCCTAGTGCAAGAACTTAGTGAACATTGCTTAAAATACGAAAAACAGTGATCCAAGAAGAAAAAATAACCTAAAAGAAAAATTCTAGATTAGTCATTATTCATAGAAACACGGACATTTTTTGCCAATTAACGCCACCTAGTGACGAGTAGCTACATTATCAAACAGAACAACTACCGCCACCTAGCGACATGTTGCTATACTACCAAACTAAGATCAACTATCGCCACCTAGCGGCGAGTAGCTGCACCTTCAAGCCATACCGTCGAATGAAAAATTCAAAACGAGCTGAACGAACAAAAAATTACAATTGTACAGTCAGCAGATAAAGTTACGGAACAAGTCACGAAAAATATAAACTACACATTGGAGGAAAAATTTATCGCATTAGATATAAAATACGAAAACCTCAGAGAAGCTGAATAATCAAGAAAAAACACTATATTTTCTGGAAAAACAGTCAAAGCAGAGGAATATTGTAATTTTTGGACTGGCGGAAAATGAAACATCATATGCAGACTTGGAAAAACACATACTAAGTTTCATGAATCAATATTTATCTGCAGATCTAGAACGCAGAGACATTCAAGAAACCAGGAGAATAGGAAAGAAAGGAGAAAATCCCCGACCTGTATCAATTACATTTACTTCATTCGGAACGAAAATAGAAATCTTTAAACAAAGGAGAGTATTAAAAGACACGACTTACTACATAAAAGAGGACTACCCACAGCATATTTTAGCTAAAAGAAGGGAACTGCAAGAACAGCTAAAAATTGAAAAAGAAAAAGGGAACTCCGCCTCTATTAAGTACGATAAACTGATAATACACTCGAAAAATGAAACAACAATAGGCAACAAGAAAAGAACTCTATCAACATCACCAAACTACAGGGATCTTCCGCATTCAGAGCCAAAACAACAAGCACATAAAAAGAACAAAACTCAACCCAATCAGGTTTACAAAGATCGTCGAGCCTATCAGAGGGAGTTATTAAACCAGGAATACTCAGATTCTTAACTACCAAAAACCACAACAATCAACCACACGATCAAACAAATGAAAATAATAAACAATAGCAATTACCGCCCTCTCTCACGGAAAACATATTAGAAAACAAATTAGAAACGAACAGTACCAAACAACATCTTCCAAGCCGGTTGGTCACCGTGGAAAATCAAGACCATAACCCTCCAAAGGAAACGAAGCTCTTTTCAAATACCATATACAACAATTACCACAACACTTAAAACTCTTTGCATTTACAATGCAAAGAGTTTTAAGTGTTGCTATGTATAATGGCCAGGACCATCAGGCCAGAGAAAAAGAGGCAGGCCAAATGCACGCTGGACAGACGACGTCATAAAGATAGCCGGCACGCACTGGATGCGAGTAGCCGAAGACAGGGAAAAATTGTCATCTTTGGAGGAGGCCTTTACCCTCCGCTGAGAGGGGTTCTTGCACCCATAAATATAAAAGCACCTGAAGAAAATAAATTAATAAAGTACCTGCACACTAATGTACATTTTTAACTTTTTACTTTTTTATTTTAATTTCTTTTTTTTTTCTTTTTAGTAAACCTATGTTATTTTGTATATCTCTTAGCAAGAAATAAAAGGCTTTTTATTTATTATGCATGGAATTAATTAAAGCTTTATTATTATTATTATTATAGATACAATTTGAACATATGGGTATCAATCGGCTGCATAGTTATCGAGTAGGTCAATCTGGTGAACTTTTTTTGGTAATTGAGGTTTTCTTCATACAGGAACCGGTCGCGTAAACCGGTAACTCTTGCTTAACCTACAAAAAAGGTTAAGCAAGAGTTCGGCACGTATAACTCACAACATTGCGTTGTATTGCATTGTAGGCGTTTTTAGACACCTCAGGCTATATTAATAATAAAAAAATGTATAGGCTTCTGAGACTTATTTTAAAGTTTGTTTGCTCAGGTAGAAAATAGGTAGTAAATATGTATAAAACGCTATCACTCAAAGATTCTTAAAACCCAATTAAATGATAGTGTTCAGCTAACCTGACGTCAGAATGGCCGGCCACTTTATTTCTTTATTATGTTATTTAATGCAGAGGTAGCAAATAGTATCAAATAAGTAGAGAAATATGGCGTATAGTTTGATTGCGATATCAAATTTGGTCAGCCAACCTGACGGTCACGGTTTCAAGGTTACTAATAGATTCGATGTTTTATCTAATTTTGCTTGTAAATTTAAGGTAGGTTTTAAAAAAGGAATTATGACTCCCTTTTCCCTTCCCTCTTGTGAACTTATACATTTTTGTGAAGCACCATCAAACCATGGCGTTTGATATTAATCGTAGCTGGGAAGTTCTTTTACTAGAACGGGGCAAACTGACCGGAAGTTCATCTGATGTTAAGTGATAGCCATAGATAGCTCACATTGCCAGAAGGCTACCAAGTTTTAATGATATTCATGAAATTTATAAAATTTTATTTACACTAAATAATTATGATAAAAATGTGAAATTAATTTTATCATTAGAATGATTAAATATTGTTTTCCTTAAATTTAAAATCAAGAATTTCTGCTTCACTGGCCCCTATCCCACTGGACCTTTTTTGCCTCGTCGCATGATCGGTTTGTTCAAAACATGATTTGAAATAAAACCAATAAAAATTGCAAATATATTTAATTAACATTCAACAAACAAGATCATTATAAAATAGATTCATTATAATTAGCAGGCACTGTTCATTATAAATCACACAAATTTCAATATTCGAGAAAACACACATTTAAATTATAAAAGTACCTGATTTAAGTAAATTGGTAACGATTTAAGTACCTATGTACAGATAACGTCAAATTAAATGACAGTTCACAATATTGCTACATACAAATCAATATGGGCAAAATATAGTCGAGAATTACAATTTAAAACGTTTTGGATTTTAACATCGTTTTGCTTAGTGTCGACTCTGAGTCTGAACTTTAACCATTAAGTATTAGGTCGATAGTTGTGGGAATGCCTGCTCTATTAATGTGATTAAACAAAAACTACATTTATATTGTCTGCTATAAGGTGTTGACGTGTTTTCAGCTAAGTGTAATCGCGCTACCTTTTACTTTTGGGCCTCAGACTTCTGCGCCTAACAATCTAAGGCCGGTTTCCTCACGATATAGGCCTACAGCCAGGGTTCAGAGTCGCACTCTGAAGCCACTAAGGCCAACACTGCTTACGCATGAAGTGATTCCCATTGGAAAATATTTATTTAAATAAATTTAGAAAATTATTGACATTAAAAGTCTAAATAATTGTAAAATAACAATTGTCGCACGTTATATTTAACATATAACAAAGCTTAAAAATAACAAAATACATAAATTTATATTTACGAAAATTTCGAAATTCTCCTACACGGTTACACTGTGAAACATTCGGAAAATATTTTGTTTAACCTATTGATAAAACAGACAAAAACTCACAATCAGCCTAGACTTAATTAACGCAACATATGACAGATGTCAACTGTCAATAACCAAATGTCACGAAATTTGACGGTACCCGTACACGAGAGTCCTTCGATCCGGAATAATTTAACTACTTAAAAATTAAGTACTGTACGTACTAGCACCCAGAAACGGCCGTAAAAACCCTAGGGCATACAAATTTGAGCTTTTAAATCATAATTTCGATACGGCAGTCATTCACCGGACAATATAAATATCCTTATTAAATGCGATTTCATAAAAACGAGTCGGAAGAGATTATACAAAAAGAATCCTCGTAGGATTTGGCCCATGCGCAGGTGCCCCAGCCAACATTCCATGCCATTTAAAAAAAAATAGAAAATGTATTTTTTTGGAGGTATTAAGAGAGTAGGCGTAAAATTGGAACTCGTTTAAATGAAATGCATGCAAATAAATTAAAAATCTCACTTAGAGAATACCCATTGCGGGAGTATTAAGTATTAATCACTTAGTAGGAACGTTTATTCGGTGACTTCTGAAGTTTGCGGGTACTTTTTGTTGTACGCCTGAAAATAAAATATGATTATAGTGGGTATGTACAAATTAAGTCGTGAAGACATTCGTATCTCGCATCAATTTTAATACAATAGCACTTTGCTCAAAGAAAATATATAATACATATTCAAGCGAGGAAGCGTGTTACCAAACCTACTTATTCTTCAAAGTTTACAAATATTTTTTTTTTATAAAACAGGAGGCAAACGGGCAGGAGGCTCATCTGATGTTAAGTGATACCGCCCATGGACAATCAACGCCAGAGGGCTCGCGAATGTGTTGCCGGGAGATCATAACCTCACCAGTAACATAACATTTAAATAATGAAACCAACTGGCGATGTTCGCTTAGAAGCGATCTCTTTCAGACATTTTAAGAGAATATAAATAATGATTTCAGATATTCTTTCATCAGACACATCTGATTCCTTGATCGGCATTTAGTGCCTGACACGTTGATTTTTGTTCTATGCTTGTTAATGCTTGTTAATCGAGAAAAAAAGGAATTAAATCACAAAAAAATACCTGTAACGCGACTTTAGCTAGGATATCGGCCATAGATCGGCCAGTCTGATCCACCATGGCTCGTAAAAAGCCACTGGGCTTCTGTAATAACATGTGTGGGTGGTCGAACTCCACCATTTGACCGGCGTCCATCACTAAAACCTGGAAAATTACAAAAAAATGTATAGTTTTTAAAATAATCTGCAAACAACAAAAATTTCATCAAAATCGGTCTCAGCCGTTAGATGTGTAAATTACCTTATCCGAATCCATGACCGTGTGCAATCTATGAGCGATCGTGAGTACTGTGCAGTCAGCAAATTTGTTACGAATCGTTGTTTGAATAAGGGCATCAGTTCTGAAAAATTAATTAGGACAATAGTTCTGAAAATTTATTTATGACAATAGTTCTGAAAATTTAATTATGACAATAGTTCTGAAAATTTAATTAGGGCAATAGTTCTGAAAATTTAATAGGCCAATAGTTCTGATAATTGAATTAGGGCAAGTTCTGAAAATTTAATAGGCCAATAGTTCTGATAGTTGAATTAGGGCAAGTTCTGAAAATTTAATAGGCCAATAGTTCTGATAATTGAATTAGGGCAAGTTCTGAAAATTGAATTAGGGCATCATTTTAACATTAGAATTGAAAGTAGCAGTATATTAGTTCCAAACACACCCTTGGCAAGAATTTCACATCTCATCACATCAATTAAGAATCTTCATCAGAAATACTTTACCCAACAAATAACTTACTGCGGATCCACATTCGCCGTGGCCTCGTCCAGCACGAGCAACCTGTTCCGCCTGACAATGGCCCGAGCGAGACAAACCAACTGCCTCTGGCCCACTGAGAAGTTCCCTCCGCCTTCGGACATACGGGAGCTCAGACCGGCTGGAAGCTCCATTACCGCTTCTTTTAACTCCACCTATTTTTCATTAATAATTTTAGTTAGACCAATGATATAAGAAGATCTAACCTTGCGTTAACCTGGGGGTTATAACGCTACTGAATTATTATCAGTTAGTTGGCCGAAGGTCTTCTCTCTCTCGTACTCGCTCGTACGGTGAAGGAAAACAGCGTATGCACCCCCACACACTTCACAATTTGTGGTAGACCCAAGTGTGTCAGGCACAGAAGGCCGATTTATTTGCCTATTTGAAATTATCAGGCAACAGATACAGAAATCTGAGGCCCAGACCTAAAAGGTTGTAGTGCAGCAAATCAGAAATCATTAAGTATGATGAATTAAGAAATTATAACAATACAAAAAAAAAGAAAAAACATTTTTTTATTGAAAACCCTATTTTACCTACCCCGATGAATTCCAGTTCGATATATATATATATATACCCGGCGAAATACTACCTCAAAAACCGTAGAAAATTGTAAAATAATAAACTATTTGAAATCACCTCTTCAAGAGCCCTCCAGAGGACCTGATCGGGGTACTCATCAAATGGATCCAAATTGTGCCTCATAGTCCCCGAAAAGAGAACTGGTTCCTGTGGGATGATGGAGATCTGACTTCGAAGCTCATGAAGACCTAGAGATGCTGTTTCACGACCGTCTATTATTATTTCGCCTTCTATTGTTGCTAACCTGTAAATTCACCAGAAATTCCTTTTAAAAGATTTGCCAGGATTTGTGAGGGTGTCAGAATCTTTTGCAAGTCCAATACAATATAAATTCACCAAATTAAAATTGATTGTCAAAGTCCATTTTTAAGAAACTTTGCAAAATGATTTGTGCATAATACTTTTTTTAATTTAGATTAGTTTTATTGAGCCGGTATTGTGTCAGTTTGTCAAATCAAATTTGTTTATTTATATAAAATCATCAAAGATTATGAACGAGAGTGAACTAAGTGAGATTCAGAGTCTAGACTTAGTCGAGAGAGACCTTAGAAAAGCGTCAAAAAAGTATGGATTTATACTATCATTCGATGATTTTGTTCTTTTTGTTTATAGAACATGGGGTAAACGGGCAGGAAGTTCTACTGATATTTAGTAATACCTCCGCCCGTGGACACTCTCAATGCCTACGGCTCGCGACCGCGTTGTCAGCCTTTTAATTTTGTTTAATAAAATATTAATTGAACTATAGAATTCGATCAATATTTCTTGAATTATTTTATAGACGGAATCATCAATCATTAATGATTTTGTTTTCGAAAATAAAATTGATTTCATAAATAAAACACGAAAAACACACAAATACTGGAAAGACATATGTATCCCATAATTCACTAAGGCCGTTTCTCCACTGCTCCGGTCCGGCAAACGTTAATTACCGATCCGATTTAGAAACTCACAACAGTACTTACGTACTTCTCCACTACTCCGGCATCCGGTTTTTAACGATCCGATAACTTGCTAGATCGGAACGCGGTGTTTTGTCGGTCCAATTATCAAAGAGGTTAAAAATTATTATTCAGAGGTTTATTTATAGTTTGTTTAATTTGAAAGAATCTGGATAACCTGGACCAAACCAAATTATGTTGCTATTTATTTATATTTTTATACCATAGTATTAGTGAACTATTTATTAAGATTATAATATTTTAAGATAGACAATATAAAAAAAGTAATAAACTTGCCAGGTAAGTATAAACTTGCAAAGTAATAAATTGATAAATATACAAGTATCGATTATTGTCGGATCGGATATAGTGGAGAAGCGCAATCCGGCCTTCCGATATTTTTCTCATGACTCATTCCGGTATCCGACGCCGGACCGGAGCAGTGGAGAAAGGGCCTAATACTTGTATTTGGACGAAAAATCATTTACACACATGATTTTTTATTATATAGTCTGTGAAGTCTTGAAGTTGACAAATGACCGAGAATGACACTGGTTAAATGATTTTACTAAGGAAATTAAATATGTAGGTTTTACTGTTGTTTCTGTTTTTATATGATTTAAGAGCGTATTATATTTCGTATCTAATGTCAATCTCTTTTAGGGGCCTCATAGCCTAGCGGTCTTATTAAGTGACAGCTAGGTGAGGGGTACCGGGTTCGATTCCCGGTTCGAGGGCAAGTTTTAATTTAATTTAAATTTGTTCTCGGCCTTTGGGAGGGTTGTGCGGTGCCGGGCGAGTGCCTAAACCGTACATGGAGGACACGGTCGAAGTTCTAAGGCAAGCACGAATTATAATAAAAATCTTATACTTGACGCTGGCTAATGCACAAACCGTCCAGAGCCTTAAAAAAAATGATAATCTCTCGAGCGCTGTCAATATGTCAAACTTCATATAGAAATGGTTTGACAGATTAAGGTTTGATTGACGTAAAACTTACCTGAACAAAGCGTTTATAAGAGAACTCTTCCCGGCTCCAGTTCTGCCGACAATTCCCACTTTTTCCCGGGGAAGAATTTCCATGGTGAGATCCTTTAGAACCGCCGCTTCCCCCGGTGCATAGTAAAGGAACACGTGTTTGAAATCCAAACGACCAGCGTCTGGCCAAGATGGGGGCGGTTTTTTACTCTGCTCCGATTCCAATGGTGGTTCGGGCTCTATGTTGGAGTATTCCTCTATCCTGAAAATTCATTAATATATCAGTGGGTGTAACTGCGAGAGCAATCTATATTCTTATGCGAGACTAAATTAACTATTAATTACTTAAGATGTCATGTGGAACATGGTGTAATGGTTGCAGCTTCTTACAAACGTTGTGTAAAAAGACTTAGCGATTTAAAAGAATGTCGGAGAGTTTATTGCCAGTTCTTCTCTTCCGTTCAACGCCCTTGATTTGAGAACTGGCAGTAAATGTAAAATTAAAAGTATTATGTATTTCTTTATTAACGTTCATAAGTGTACATTGTGTTACCAAAAGATTTTGAATGGAATGTATAGCCCAAACAATAAATAATCTGCGCTGGGGTCGCTAAATTAACTAATTTAAAAATTATTAAAAGTTAATTTTAAAAATTATTTAAAGATTATAGAAACACCACATAGACATGCAATTGGGCATGACATTTGACACATGTCAAATATTTCGTTGTTAACGACTTTTATAAATTGGATTTTAATTGTATTCGGCATTCAACTCACAATTTCCAAGACTTACACTGACAGATGACAATGACAATAAATGTTGCCATTTGAAGAAATTAGTTCCAATAGCTATCTTGATTTTAAAGATTCGATAAAACAGATTAAAAACTCGTGTCACAGAGAGAACAAAGCACAGATAATAGTAGGCGAAATATTTTTTTTTACCTCTCCACACTTGTCATCTGGTTCTCGAGTTCCGTGGACTGCCTCATTCCCCATTGGAACATACCGGTGAGACCCATCGCTTGGGTTATCGCCAGACCCACGTTGCCTCCATATTTCTCTGTAAACATTAGTTTTTATTGCTGTAAAAATTTCTATATAACATTTTGAATCTGTGTGTTTGTTATTAAATTCCTCCTAAACATTTATGAATTTGGTGTGTATTCGAGAAATTGAAAATGGTTTAGATGTATATTTAGATGGTTTTTGAAGTGAAACTTCTTTAGGGTAAAATTTTAACGGAAGCAACGCATTAATAATAATATTGGCGTCACGATGATGTGCAACGTTTTTGTCGATGAAAAGGGAGAGAGCGATTGAGTCCGATTGAGAAAGGGTGGGTGGCAGAGAATTTATGAAATATTAGTATTTTATATTTTATGCAAAATAATTTATTGAAATCTCAAATGTCGAATTGTAAATTAAAATGCCACATGTTTTTATTATAGAAGAAATAAATTAAATTTATAATTTGTATTAATTTTTAACGTTTAATATTTTAATGACAATTAAATTCCTAAAATATCTTCCCTTTTCCTTCAAGTCTCGGAAATCTGAAGCTTTAGATTTGTATAAATATGAACAAGACTTAAAAATTAGTTTGCCTAAGAAGTTTCACGTTCACATGTGTACTTTGTACGCACGCACTTTTTTTGTTTAAGATTTTTTATTTACTCTTCTTTATAATAACTGTAAACTCAGAATGCATCCGTTTCTGTGATATGAGACATGCCGCTTTCCTCACGATATTTTCACGATACGAGCGATGATAAATGCGCAAATAGAGTCCATTTGTGCACAGCTGGGGATCAAATCTACGACCCCTTTATCATTCACCATAACACCTATCATAGTGATTCATTTCTGAAGTTATACTTCTTTAGGCGCGTTATGAAAAATTGATGAGAGTGAAATTTTACGATGCGCGCGCACCGTGACACAAAATTAACAGAATGAAGTTGCCCACGGAAGATGCTACGGCATTGGACATAATTTAAAAACAACATTCGAATTTATTTTACACTTAATGTAAGAGAATAATAATAAATATTTATTTATTTAATTTTTCAAATGTAAACTGAACTTTATTGACTATAATGACTCCTTTTCCAGTCTTTGATAATTTAATTGTAATTAATGATTTGCATGTAATCAAAAACTATTTTTAATAATGCCAAAGAAGTATAACTTCTTACGCGCGTACATAAGTACACGCACCCTTTTTTTTTGTCAAGTGAACTTATGAATATACTTATATACCTTGTCCAAAAACGAGGAAACTCATGGTAACTACTGCGATGTACACCACGCACACCAAGTCCAACCAGAATCCAAACGCACGGGAACTTGCGATAAACATATACCTATAAAAAGTAAAGATTTTTTTTAAATATACTAAAATACCTGGGACCTTAATATAGAGGACGTCGCCACAATAATAAAAAAGACTGCTGGACAAAAATAAAACAAAAAACAAAAAATTTCTTTAGTAAGTAAATAGTCTTAAATCTATATTTTAGTACATCCCTTTTAAGTTCAAGAACCTGTGTTAGGGATGAACGCTCTTTCCTATATGTTAATACTTAATCTACTTAATAAAGCAAAACAGTAAAGGTACTTAAATGGTTAATTAATTATATTACATACTTGAAAAACCAAACTACTGGCGATTGTTGATATTAAATCGTAATAACTAAACAAGTGAGGTAGATTAAAATCAATCACACCATCGTCTTTATTTTAATTGTGTGAGTGAGACATGAGTGTAACTGTAGTGCAACTCAGACGAGTGTAGTCCGTATGTCGTGACCAGTGCAGGTTAGTACAGCGTAGCATGTCTTTTATCAGCCGGATGATGCCCACGAACATAGGCTCCACCATCACGTGAATGTCGAGGCTATTCAACTCCTTGACACCACGGGCCTAGTGAGAAGACTAAAGAGGACAAAACCATTTGAACTAGTGAATTAGTGTTAATGCACGTCAGTACTAAATACACAGTGAGTGAAAGAAAAAAATAGAACACAAGAACAGAGTGTCTTCCCTTTAATAGAGACTGTAAGTAGTGTTATTAGGGGCCTCATAGCCTAGCGGTCTTATTAAGTGGCAGCTAGGTGAGGGGTACCGGGTTCGATTCCCGGTTCGAGGGCAAGTTTTAATTTAATTTAAATTTGTTCTCGGCCTTTGGGAGGGTTGTGCGGTACCGGGCGAGTGCCTAAACCGTACATGGAGGACATGGTCGAATTTCTAAGGCAAAAAGCACGAATTATAAAAAATCTTATACTTGACGCTGGCTAATGCACAAACCGTGCCAGAGCCATAAAAAAAAAGTGGTGTTATTGGACACTTTCTTATGTAAACATCCTTATTAGTAAATTAGGTTAGACTTAAGTTACTTATTAGTTTAAGCTAGGCTAGATTGTAATGTTCCATGATGTCTTAGTAAAGACACATGTATATAAAAAAAAAATACTAAAATGTGTCAACGCCCAGTTTCCCGATGCTAGATAAGGCTTTAAGGAGAGTGTCTTCGAAGAGAGGAGTAGCGACAAAGGGTGTTTTAGTAGCGGAAAACCCGCAAACTTGTGTCTTCTTGGGGTTAAATTGGACTAGATTTAGTAAGGGACAAGGGTGTTCTGGTACTCATCGACAACTGCCAAAGAAATAAAAATAAAAAATCAGTGGCGCTACAACCACTTTAGGTCTTGGCCTCAGATTTCTGAATCTGTTTCATGATCATTTTTAAATCCAATAAACAAGCAGGTGATCAGCCTCCAGTGCCTGACACACGCCATTGACTTTTTGGGTCTAAGACATGTCGGTTTCCTCACGATATTTTCCTTCACCGTTCGAGCAAATGTTAAATGCGCACATAGAAAGTCATTCCACAGCCGGGGATCGAATCTACGACCTCAGGTATGTCGCACGCTGAAGCCACTAGGCCAACACTGCTCTATCTACCCTGTCGCCAAAGAAATACCGTATTATATTCTGCAGTTTTGGAGCCTATTCAATGCAAACAAACAAAGAGACAATCAAATCTTTTTTTTTTAAGGCTCTGGCACGGTTTGTGCATTAGCCAGCGTCAAGTATAGGATTTTTTATAATTCGTGCTTTTTGCCTTAGAAATTCGACCATGTCCTCAATGTACGGTTTAGGCACTCGCCCGGTACCGCACAACCCTCCCAAAGGCCGAGAACAATTTTAAATTAAATTAAAACTTGCCCTCGAACCGGGAATCGAACCCGGTACCCCTCACCTAGCTGCCACTTAATAAGACCGCTAGGCTATGAGGCCCCTCAATCAAATCTTTCCTCTTTATAATATTAGTAAAGAAGAATAGAAAATAAATTAGAATATATTACCACGCGGAACTATGCAAGTCTTGATGGCTGTCAAACTCTTTGATAAGTGTCTCTTGAGCGCCGAAGGCTCGTATTGTAGTAATCCCTTGAAGGGAGGCGTTGAGGTGTGAGAAGACTGGACTGCGAGCTGGAATATATTATTTAAAAAATCAATAAGCATCTATCTCTATTCATCACATCGTAAACAAAATTGGTCAGAAAGAGACGATAGAGTAGTTTAAATAAATGCAATAAAACTTTATGAAAAAGGGATTTATAAGTTAAGCGGTTTTTATCAGTTTAAAAATCCTTTTTAAGATACAATATAATTTGAATTTTTGCGTTTATCTTTATTAGTGTTTAAGTGTATTTTAGTTTGTATGTAAAATTTAAGGCCGTGAAGGCCGTATTTTAGTTTGTAACCTACGATACTGAGAAATGGATACGTTAATTAAATTTCCTCCATTAAAAATTTTTTTGTGTGAATGAAACATTTTCATATAAATTTACAATTATTTTACATAATTTTAAATTTAACCGACGTTTCGCGTGCTTTACAGCGTGCGTTGTCACGGTTCCCCGGAGTTGGTATCGACTATACATACATACATATTCGGGAAATAAAAACGGGAAATTAAAATTATGTAAAATAATTGTAAATTTATAATAATACATAACTTCAATCCGGTAAAAAAGTGTTTTATTTAAATGTGTAAAGGTTATGTCAATAAAAGACAATACTATATGGATATTACTTGTACAAAATTATCTATATTTCGCATCTATAAGGCGCAGACAGCTCTTAATATTTTTAAACAAAATTTTAAGCTGTCAAATGTCAATATAATTAAATATCCTATAGGAAACAGCACACAGATGACTCACTTACACCCTCCAGGCGCTTGATACTACGAGACGTTGCTATGTAGAATATTCGAAGTCCGTAGAAGACGAAACCGATGGCCAGCGTCGGGATTAGCAGCCAGTAGTTCACCGTCGCCACCACCACCACTATACCGACGAGTGACAGGCCAATCTATCAAAATATTGAATGATTAAAACAGGTCAGCAAAGCATGAAATGTCCGGCTCATTGAATTGTACGGATCCAGCACAGGGGATGGCAGTGGTCACGTGATTGGTGATTCCTTGTGTATAAAGCTACCCCTTATATATTAAAACCAACCAATACGTCCAGACTGATATTGGCAAAAGTCAAAAATCATTTATTCATGTAGGTAACACAATGTACACTTATGAACGTAAAAAAAAATACATATTAAATGCTTCTAATTTTACATTTACTGCCAGTTCTCAAATCAAGGGCGTAGAACGGAAGAGAAGAACTGGTAATAAACTCTCCGCCACTCTTTTTAATCGCCAAGTTTTTGTTTTACACAACGTTTGTAAGGAGCTGCAACCATTACACCATGTTCCACATGACATCTTAAGTAAAAAAAAATAATAAATTAAAAACAAAGATTTGTCCTCTATCAGCAGGAGGCATGGTGAAATAGGAGCACGCACTTACATTCTCGTGGGTTTGGTCCTTCGAAACGGAAAATTATAACCTCAATTCCTGACAATTCTATAATTTTCAAAGTTCATTAAACATATAATAATAATATATTTGCTACCAATTAATATTGTTATAGCAACCTTTGATTTCTTAATTACTTACTATTTTTATTTTACATTGTTTATTGAGTTCGCGGACAATTGGCAGACTCACGCAACTTCTTCGATACAAAAAGTCCCCTTGGGATTTGTGTGCCAAGATGATTGAGTAGTATCGCAGGATACTAGATTGTGAGAAATTGCATGAACTGGTTAGCGCTGCGCCTAATTCGTATGTTATCATGTCATTTTTACATCTTATTTCTTCCATATTTCAAAAGTGTTCGATTGTCGAACGTGTGTGATGTTTGTTAAATAAAATAGTTTACATTAAAACCATCCTAGGCTCTTAGGCTCACATAATTTTTTAAATATTTAAAGTTTAAACTTAAATATGATTTGTCGTTTTCAAAACGCAGTAGATCACTGACGCATAAACTATCTTTCATGATACAGTCGTGAAATTAAAAAAAAAACGACGGGTTGCACTCCGGGAGTGCCGGCAGAAGTGAAATCTTGAATATTAACGTGAATTTTTGATATTTTGGAATGATTAGGGAATAAATTTGCACGAATTGCTTTAATTATCAGTATAAAAGTACTATCATTTATGTGGTAGAATACAATATTTATTTATTGCGCTATCGTACACAAACATGACAATTTACTGTCTACTCTCCAAACTAACCTAACCTACACAAAATAATTAAAATTAGTATTAAATAATTCAATTAGGAAAATTCACTATTTTTTAAGTTGCCATTTTTTATTCGCGTCAGTCTGACCAAATCGTTAAGAATAAAGCTTGAGACGTTTCGCAAAATAAAACCTTGATGTATTGACTTAAGGTCCAATTCCACATGCATCAATGTATCTGAGAAAAGAGACAAATGAATTAAAACCGTACTATATAGCACGAAGGTTCATAATCTTTAAAAAAAAACATCCGTCTTACGAATTTGTCCTGACACGAGTTTAACATTTTTTACCCATTCCAAAAAAAGTGTGCAACACCGCTAAAGAAGTTTTCACTTCAAAATTAGTAATAAACTTTGCTTACAAAAGTTGACTAACCTGCAAAACATCCAACAGCGCAGATGGCAGCACTTCATCGACGGCGCCCATATCCTTCGAGAATCGATTCAAAATACGCCCAGATGGGTTTGTATGGAAAAATCGCATTGGTGCACGTGTGATCGACGAAAACATTTTATTGTGAAGGCGCGTCGACGCACGCATTGCCATCGAGAAGAACAGAAAAGACCGGAGTAGTGATACTACCACTAGGGCTATTATCATAGCTGAAAGAAAATATTACATTTCAATAAAAATGGACATCGCAAGTTTGTCGACTAAGAGGTATATCAATATATATAAAAATGTTGGTTTGTGTACGCTTTAAAAAAAAGTTCTACACCGATCGAGCTGAAATTTTAGCATAATATATGATCCGCATCAAGGATTGTTTTTATCTATTTTTTGCATCAGCCACATATCCGCGACGGCGAAAAAATAGTTTTTTTAACGATCAGCTGTGTACCAGTGACCACGCCATCTGGCGGAAGCGAGGAAAACACTCGCTAACAACCGCAATAGTTATGGCGCAGTCACATGAGAAACAATTTACATATATCGACTAGGAAAGCATATTTGCTGTAAGTAGACAAAATACCTAAAGTGACTTTTTACTGCCATTAGAATCAGAAAAAAACCGCATCGAATGTCCCGGTCCTGTGTCTCTACGATGAAAAAAAATTACATACGCGGTTGAAAACGCTCGTACTTATATTTTTTAGTAAGATTAAATGCTGTATGTAGACCAAAAATCCAGTCATTTTAGACAATTTGTACTTACAGCAAAAGAAAATCTGCATTTTTTACTTTACAAATACTTACTTCTTCCCATTTAAAAACTTAACGCTACTTACAGCATTTCTGCGGCGTGTGATTTTTACATTCGTTTACTTACAGCAAGCTTAGGGAACCTACAGTTTTAGTTTTTTTACCATTAACGACATGTTATTACAACCAAACATTACATTACCAAATGACCCACTGCATTTCTAGATCTAATCATAATTATAAACTAATCTTACATCTTGAATTGCAATTGAAAGTACCCAAATACATAAATTTATGCAGTACAGCATATTTACCGACTGTAAATTGATAATATTTCCGCGCGTACATTTTTCTTCCTTAGTTACAGCGTTTTAAAGGTTTGTGATTTAAAAACTGTATGCTGTAACTAGCCAAACACGTACTTATAGTAACTTTGGATAAAAAGTTTATTTACATTGCAAATGGTGACTGGATTAAATAAATATATTTTCAAAATGTAGAATATCATGATAGTTCGACACTATTAATTTTTTTCCGAAATTAATTAAGTTTTTGGCTCTGTAAAATTGCAATATGTTTTACAGCAAATATGCTTTCCTACGTATATTTATATTTATATTTATATTTCGTTCCCAATTACACTGTTTATTTACAAAAAAAAAATGCATCTGATTCAGATTATTATACAATATATTTATATAGGCTATTTAGAATTAAAATTAAACATTATTAACTGTATATGAAAAAAACTGGTTTTAAGAGTTAGGCCGCCCATATAAATCTACTTCTTTTTTACCTGTTTTGTGTTTAAAAAAGTGTTTAGTGATTAACGTCAAACTTTCCAAAACGAATACTCCATTGTGTTACTTCAGGTATCACTTATTCCACGTCATTAATTTGAATCGGCAGACATCCCTACTCGTCGGCAAAGAAGACTGGTGTAGGCCGAGAGAAAAAGCCGGCGTAAAAAACTCTCGGTACTCTTTTAAAATAGCAAATCATTCACACTTATTTTAAAACAAATATCGCAAATTAATTAGAAGTGGCCTGTCGAGCACTAGTCCCAGGCCCTTTTATCAACTAGATAATCGTAAACTTATAAAGCTAGAATGCCGTTCAGTAATCGCTACATAGATATACAATATGTTACCACTAAAATAAGACACACAATACACATATATCTTTCTTTCATTTCATATTCATATTCACGCCTTTTTCTCAAAGGTGTAGGCAGAGATCTCCACTTACTACGGTTCTGACATACCTCTCGCTTCCACTATCATGACATTGACCATGCATGCTCATCGGTAATGGTTAGTTTTGACTATCCCACTTCTTTAGTACGTCCTGGATTAGGGAGCGTTCAAGTATTACGTAACGCAATTTTTGGATATTATTTAATCCCCCACCACCCCCTATGTAACGCGCCGTAACGTTTTTCTTCGTAATTCGATCCTCGTCCAGCATCGTAACATTTTACGAAAGGACCCCCCCCTCAAAATTCGTTACGTAATACTTGAACGCTCCCTTAGGTCCAGGAATGTATGACAAGACCTAGCCGATCCAACCATCCACGGTAGTCTTGTATATCCTACTCATACCATTTAGCCCGCTAATGACGATGTCAATATCAAGTGATGATATTTCACCGACACCCACCCACACACACACACACACACAAAATATATATATATATTATTAAACTTACCGGAATAAATATAAATGCAATCATATCTCGTGAGGCCGGATTGGAACTCCGCGTTGTTAACGAGCGCGTTCGTGAAGTTCGACGTAAGTTGGAGCGGACCCGTTTCGTTCGAATCGAGCATGCGAAGTGTCGTCAGTGGATGTTTTTCTTCCTGATTTACCCTGCAATATTTAATTTACATATTCTTTATCTAGTTCTGGAGAACATGGCGACAATTCCTCTGAAAGTGACACGTGGATTGGTGGTCACGAATGGATGTGGAAAAATAAACTTTTCTTTCGTTTTTATACTAGTATTTATTAAATGGTAATTCATAGGTAAAAAAATAATAATACTTGAAACTGTGAAGTGACTATTACAATGGTAATTCTGAGGCCTAGGGGTTGTTGCGTTAGTGGGGGTGGGGGGGCTTATTTTCCATCACAGATGATTATTATGACCCTCTAACACAATTTTTGCCATATTTTATCAATATATAATAAATTGTCCATTAATTCATTTACACACCTTACATTAAGTTGTGATATATGGCCAATTACAGATTTTGTTAAATAAAGTAGGTACACATTAAAAGATGAACTTTTATTTCTTTTTCTGTTTTTTTTTTTTTGAATTTTTTGCACCCGGAGATACTAACTCTGCCAAGGAAAAAAAATCATATATTTCTTAATCAATTTAACGAGTTACTGCACAACTGATGATCGATCTTGTCTGTCAATAGATGTCATCACCTCTCAACGCAATATTTAATTAAATAAATGCTGTTTTGTTTACTCAAAATTGAGAGGACCCTTGACATATAAGGCCGGCAACGCACTTGCGAGCCTTCTGTGGCACTTTGTTAAGTGCCGCCCATAGACACATTTCCATAGACACATTTTTTTTTTACAACATAATTTTAATAATCCTAACGAAAAATTTTATTTTCATATGCCGGGTATCAAATTGCTGCAAGAACCGCGGAGAACAGTTTAAAAATACTAATTACCAATAACTTGTCCACCAATCCGAGCTGGATCCCAGCAACTGCGCAAGCACAGCTACCATCACCATCAAAGTCACCAGCAAGGGATTCCCGCTCGCCCGCAAGTACGCACCGTACACTTTGCTGGACACCGCACCGGCCGTCCTCATCTCTGCTTCTTCCCTTCCACCTTCCGGTGGCGCCGTGGCCGTGAGGTTATCCACTGAACTTACCTGGAAGTAGTATATTAAAATATAATCTTGTATCACAAGCCACTGAATGAAGTTATCATTTAGGTAAAAAGAGTAGTATTGTACCGCTAAAAGTTCAAGATGTTGAAATCACTAATAAAAAATGGGAGAAATATCTGGGTCTTACAATGGATACAAATTTAAAGTGTACCTTTCACATATCACGCATAATTACCAAACTAGAATCACTTTATTATTATGTACTACTTCCAGGTAAGGGAGCGTTCAAGAATTACGTAACGAATTTTGGGAGGGAGGGGGTCATTTTGTAAAACTTTACGATACGGGGCGGGGATTGAATTACACGTTATTGTTACGATTGAATTACTCGTAATATTATTTTCGACTTACACCACATAATAGTAACTGAAGAGTCACTAGGTGGTCACGAAACGTTTTATTATACTTGGGTACAGTACTGTACTTGGGTACTGAAAAACGTTACGGCGAGTTACATGGGGGTCAATAATCTCCAAAAATTGCGTTCCCTAAGTTCAGTGGATAGGTAGATTTTGGTCAATACAAAATGCATTCCGCAATCTGCACGTCATATGATTTATAATTGTTTGGTCAAGACACATGTCATAATATCTAATTGAAATATGGGGTACAGCATGTAAAAACAAAATTTAAAAGATACGAACACTACAAAATAAATTAATAAAAGCACTATTTAGATACAATTTTTAACACCTACTAATAAAATCTACCAAGAAACCAAAATTATGACGATTAAACAACTATATTATGTTTACCTGTATCTTAATTTTTTTTTAAATAACTCTCCATAGTAGCTTATCATTAAAAAAAATTGTGCGTGTACTAGGTGTACACACGTAAGAAGTGAAACTTCTTTATGATCTTATTTTTCGAAAAATGATCTACTATATGCAACTTTACAGAAATTCGTTAAATTAGATAAAGTTCAAAAGGCTTTTATTATCATAGACATGAATACAAATATTTCATTTTACCTTATTACTACGAAGATTATTATAGAATTTCATTAATTGTAATAGAATTATTACTATCATTGAAAAACGTGACGATTTGCTACAAAATTTCTCCCATACGTCGATAAAGAAGTTTCATTCCAACGCCGATAAAGAAGTTTGACTTCAAAAAGCAACATGGCGCGTAACCGAAAAATGTGACGCGTAACGAAAAAATGTTACACTAAATTTTTTTCCAACCTCGATAAAGAAGTTTCACTTCAAAAATAAATACACCACTACACGCAATACTCGTCGAGCGAGTTTGCTTATCTTGCCGAAGCCGCGTACAAATTATTAGAAGACGTCTATTAAGTATGAGGGTGTGCAATTAATTAATCAATTACCGTCTAAAATTCGTAATATTAGCGCATTTAACCAATTCAAAAGGGCATTAAAGATACATATTAGAATGAGCCTAGTAGACTAAAATTGGGATAACTGATAGCGACGCGTATCTCGTTCGTATATTATTATGTTTCTCATGTAAATACATTTTTTGTAAAGAGAAATAAAGTTCTTTAATCATTTATTGGCCTAGAGAGTGAGTTTGAGTATGAGTCGATTTCTTCACGATGTTTACCTTCACCGTTTGAGTGCATTTTAAATGCGCACATAGAAAGTCCATGGTTGCACAAACATTGAACCTACGACCTCAGGGATGAGAGTCACACGTCGACGTCACTAAGCCAACACTGCTGCATGATAAATCCTTTATCATATAGAAAGCACAAAACACTCACCGAATGTATGCTCATCTGCCGTTTCCTGAAACTTCCTTGCAGAATAGATTCCTCTTCAACATTAGATTTGTCTTCTACAGGCGGCTTTTCGTCATCCTGATCATCCCTCGCCAGTAGAGTGGCAAAGTCCAGACCAGATGCGCTTAATGTTTCAAAATCTCCCGCCGCTGCTATTGCTCCGTTCTTTAGAATAATAATCTAAAAAAATAATTTACCAATTAATATGTAAAGAAACTATGTAGTATGTTCCTTTATTATAGATGGCGCTAGCAGTCATCGCGGTTGGCAAAAGCAGTTGGTTTGAAGTTGACAGATGTCAAAGTCATCGGGATTGTATTCAATATTGTTTAATTGTGAGGTTATTGTAAAAAGCTTAAAAAGGGATTGATAATTTTAATAATAGAGATTAAATGTCGTTTCTGTATTTTCAGGTTCCTACCTGAACACTATCTTAGTGTTAGTTAGGATCAAGATAATGTAGTATAGTGTGTAAGAACTAAAATAAAAATCTTTATTCTCATAGCAACACAATTGTTTATTTGAATTTTCAATTCCAAATAAAATAAGATATATAATCTTATAAATATAATACAGTTCTGAAATCCGACCTCAACTTAAGTAGGAGAGCAGTAAGTAGGAGAGGGATAATTCCATGTCTTTCATATGGATGCCAAACGATTCTTCGATTGAAACATAACAAAATTAAAAACTGTGTGATACGAAGCCGTACAAATATAAAAGATGTCGTAACACGTACAAAAGAGGTAATGGGCCGACTATATTGCCCGCATTAGTGATGGCAGATGGGTCCAGAAGACCCTTGCTTAAAATGGTCCAATGGGAAGAGAAAGAGCCGTCCATGGACACTCACACTGCCAGAAGGCTCGCAAGCGCGCTGCCGGCCTTTTAAGAATTGGTACGCTCTTTTCTTGAAGCATATACCGTTAAAATAAATCCGTAATGATTTATACCCTTAAATCATTCCCAGAAATCCCACTATCTATTAGTGTGAAAATAGTGGCGGAGAGTTTATTGCCAGTTCTTCTCTTCCGTTCTACGCCCTTGATTTGAGAAGTGGCAGTAAATGTAAAATTAGAAGCATATTTTTTTTGACGTCCGTGATTTTGACGACGTGACTTTGTGTATTGTATTGTATTAGTGAAAACAGTAAATCCGTTCAATAATAATTGAGTTCATCGCATACATACAGACGCGGCCGCGGAATTACATTTTATAATATAAAGAAAAAAAACTACAAGTCAAAATGCTAACACTTTTTTGGAGTCAGTACATACCTGATCAACATCTTTCAGAAACTGCAACTGGTGAGTGACCAGCACCCGAGTCGTGTTCCTCAAGTACCCCACAACGCAGGACTCAAACAAATGTCTGCCCACATGCGCATCCACGGCTGACAGTGGGTCGTCCAATAAGTATATATCAGCGCGCTTGTAAACCGCACGAGCGAGGGATATACGCGCACGTTGGCCTGGAACGTATAAACGGACGCAGTTAGGAAATTTGTGAAGAAAATTTAAGTTTTGGGGGGTTTAATATAGACAATTTTATATTTAAGTTAATATCTTTTTGGTGTCTCTCCATTACTGGCGGCAGAAAGTATTAGACATACCTATCATTTATTACACACACATCAACACACAAAATAACAATAATCAAAGACAAAAAAAATAATAAAAAGATATTATGAGAGGTATATAATTCGGTTCGTCTCAAGAATGTAATGCGTGTGTGCTGTGGCTATAATGGGCCCTGACACAGCATTATGCTGAGGAGCAGAATGTTCCACAGCGCCGGTCATTCTGCCAGACCACAGCAGCTAGTTTGCGCCTCAGTCGCAAAAATTATTAGGTATATTACACCCTTCTAAGTCTTATCCTGTGCTAGATGCAGCATCTTCCGCAATCGCAATACCCATCTACTCCCTAACCTTACGAAGTCTTTGCATTTACCAACACGCAGTACCCTAAATGTTACCCATTATATTTAATTGAAGGAGATGAAGGTGGGTTTTAGGGACGCTGTATGAAGGAAAGAGGTCTAAACTTCCGAACAACAGAAGATTTTTTTTTATAGTATAGTGGGCAAACAGGCAGGAGGCTCATTATTTTAAGTGATACTTGGACTCTCACATTGCCAGAAGCCTCGCAAGTGCCTTTACAGAATTGGTGCGCTTTTATTTTAACTGAAAACAATTTTTGAACATCATTGCGGGTAGTTTAAAAAACTATTTATATTTCGCAATTAAGTTTAAATTTCTTCCTTTTTCATTGTTTTTAATATGAGCCAATTCTAATTTTGTGGTAAAAAAAAGGTGATTTAAGACTAACGGTGAGATACTGAGGTCCATATTATAATTCGTATATCAAGACGTAATCTCGCCTTGAGCGCTATTAAAATATATGGCAAATTTCATACAGGAACTTTTTCGCCAGCTCCTGTCACAGATTTAAGTTTAATTGACGTGTTACGGCCCTAAATCACTTACCCCCACTCAAACTAACGCCCCGTTCTCCAACAACAGTCTTGTCTCCATGCGGAAATAACGTAAAATCTCTGTCCAACGCACATCTCCTGACAACCGCGTTGTACCTCGGCCGATCCATTGCTTGGCCGAAAAGGATGTTCTGACGTACACTACCTAGAACATAAAATGAATATCTAGAAGAGATAGAGAGAGGATTAAGGGAAGCGAAAGAGATACAGGAGCCGATTTAGTCCAGGTATGAAAAAGACTAAACGTGCGTTAAAGAAATCACAAACGAAAGAAAACGAATTTCGTCTTTCGTTCTAGAATATTCTGTGCCTGACAGATAGGATCACTTTGGTTCTAAGCCATAGCAGCTTAAAATTAAGACTCCGGAAGGCGTAAGGATTGAGAATAATAAGGTTTCACTTTGAAGAAACAAAAGCTGTGATATAAAGAAAGAAAAATGAAAAAGAACTAACAAGTTATGTACTATGCTAGAGTCTGGCTATTGAAAGAAGATAATTGAATTACTTGAAAACTTTCGGATGGCAACACAAAATGTCATTGAATTTCTTAGGTTACTATGATTTATTGTCTTGATACTTCATGCAATTACTCATTTTTATTTCTATTATATATTTTTTCCGAATAGTTAACAGGTATAATAGATTTTGATTATTCCGAATTAAGTTGTGTTTATAATAAATATAGTTTTAGTTTTCCATGCAATGCTAGTCAATTTATGTATCAATAGTAAAAGACTTAATACGTATAGTATTTAATTTCATAGATATACAGTTACTATCAATGTAGAAAATAATAAAATAAAATCAAGTATCAAGTAAGTTTATAATCTACAAAATATATCAAACTTTTAGGGATACCATACAATTTTTTTGGAATTTGCCGCGCTTTTTCGTTCATTAGCCAGACTCTATGATCGCATAGTTTTTGGGTCTTACCCGCAAATAGCCACGGTTCCTGGCTCGCGTAAGATACCGTGCCTCCGACGTGCACCGAACCTGAGACTAAAGGCAGCTCCCGGAGTAGGACATGTAAGAGCGAAGATTTGCCAGCACCCACCGGGCCTATGACCGCGATCAACCTGAAAAATTTGTTATATTGTTTTAATTACATCTAGAAAATAAAAAGATTCAAGGTCTTCACACGAAGATAAAGAACGAACGAAGTGAACGTCATAATATTTTTTTCTGTGGGCCCGCCAGGTCGATCAATATCGCAGACCATCCGTACCATTTTCTCGAAGCAATTCAGGTAATTTTCGAGTTCGTTGTGGATAAAATTGGAAGCCTGAATTTTCAAGTCAATTTAAAAGATAAATGATTCGTAATATTGATATGGTCAGTTTAAGATGTTGTTATGTTATCTAATTACGTAATAACGTGTAGGCCTCAGACTTCAGTAACTGTAATAGGCAAGTAGGTGATCAACCCTCTGTGCCTGAGTCACACCGCCGACTTTTTTGTCATTCCTCACGATGTTTTCCTTCACCGTACAAGCGAGTGTTAAAATGCTCACATAAACAGAAAGTCTATTGATCGCCAGGATCGAACCTACGACCAGGAATGAAAGTCGCACGTTTAAACCTCTAGGCCACTGCTCCTTTTTAACCCAATTCATTAAAAAACTTCATTTTAGTGACTATTGTTTAAGTTTGGTCCGTAAAAATTTAGTTGAAATATTATTTTTCATTTTTTTAAAAATCTCAATATGGCATATTACGTAAACGGATAGAAAATTTGTTTATAAGCGAAAATTTGTTTATAATCAGGCATAATAAGTAGCTGTATAATATTTTACGGCATCTGAAATCCTAACGATACTGCCGTGATTTATGTCAACTCCATCATAACAATAGAAAACGAAGGCCAAAAGCGTTGGTTGGAACTCCAACGGAATGATTGGACAGCATCTTGGACAACAAAGCTTTAGTTTTCTGCAAAATCACATTGAACTAAGATTTTCATCTTCGCTAATAGTCTCCTTCAGTTGATTGAAATTGTTGTTGGAGTATGAACATGCTGATTGTGAATGCATAAACTAGTATTACACTAAGCATATACTAGTACTAGTAATTGTACATTAAGGCAAGAATACTTTGTTACCTTATCAACATAGCCAGTTATTACAGTAAGCACATAATTTTTTACGCCACATTGTAATAGTGAAGGATTGCGTAATTACGGCTATTAAAACATGAGTACGATGCACATACAGACAAAGGCTGACACTCTGAGTGAAATTAAGCAATTTTATGGAACTTTGAAGATCAGCTTACAATAATTTACAATAATTGTGTTCAATAATCTCTTGTGTCAATGTGTACACAATATCTTAATATATCTAAATTACGCGTCACGTTGTTTGTCCGCTATGAACTCCTAAACTACTTATCCGATTTCAATCTAATTTGCACACCGTGTGCAGTTTAACTTAAAAGATAGGATCGCTTACATCATAATTTATACCAGCAATATTATTTTATTGCAAATTATTTGTTTCAATTATTCTGTCAGAGAGATGTGAATACGCAGTATGCGTTCTGTCCCGCTCTAACGCGTATTGGCCGCACCTATATTACGTCATCGTGTGTCAGGTTTTTTCGTTACGAAATTTCTTGATTCGGTCGCCGCGCTCAAAGCCCGCGAGAAAATCTATGCAAGTCCGGACAACGACAAACATACCAGTAGCTATAATAAAGAAGTAAGATACAAGGATTAGGACATTAACAGTGGTTTTAAATTATTTTTAAATGAAGCAGTAGAGGAGTGCCAAAAAGGGTCGATGTTATTGACAGAATCTAAAGCAGAACACATCCTGTCTTCACAGGGAACCCAATGTTGGTTCTGGAAGTCGGAAGGTTAAAAGTTCTGTGTGAGCGTAGAGAACTGGCAGGTCGAATATTATGAGTTCAAGAAGATTTGAACAAGTTAGTTCTTGTACGCATATTTTTCTTACAGTGACACAATCTATCAAATTGTATCTAGAACTATCACGTAATGCTACACCACACACAGTTCATCAAAGTCAAAGTCAAAATAACTTTATTCATATAGGTAAACAAGTACACTTATGAACGTCAGAAAATAAGTTAAATTCATTATAAATTTACATTTACGCTTAACTCCCTCATTTCCACGGCATTTATTCTACTTTCATTCTTTCTCTGCCACATTGTCACTTATACTGTAAAGATGTATATGTGGTATTTAATAAATATAATATAAAAATTAACAAAAGCATGAACTACTTACTTTCCGGGTTTAATAGTAAGCGACATATCAGTTAGAGTGTTCTCTGCGTGCGATACTATCCACTTCGCGGTGGCATGTTTGAGTCGAACACCTCTTGCGTCCTCTTCTACCCTGGTAGCTAGTTCCTCTGTATCCTCTTCACCAGATTCGAGTGGTGCTTCTAAGTTACCTAAAAATTCAGTAGGATATGTCTGTCAATAAATCTGCTTACGTAATACTAGAATGGCCCCAAATATAACCATAGCAGTCTTGTTTAGTAACGCGACAAATGCATATAAAAGTAGTTTTTCAATTTACTTTTTATGTTGGTAAACGTTAGGCTACCCATAACTTCGTAAGTTAAATAAATAAGTCGATTAAAAATTGAACTATATTGACGCATTTATATATGACAGGTAAATAATGTAGATAAGTAATTCAAATTAATTTTTCTAAATAACTTTTAGTCACCTTTGTATTCCTACCATTAAATACGCAAATGTATAATGTACGCGAACACGTACTCGAGTACTAAAAATTGTTCAGTTCGATACAACCAAAGTATCTAGTTTTTTCAATCAGCATTCAAAGTGGGCCTTTACTAGCGATCTCAAGTTTTCAATAAGGACTTTTTGTACCGTGAAATCTGTTATTGAGAGACATCGAACGAAAAATACTGAGGCCTTGGAGTCGGCACAGCTCCGGCCCACAATGCCTATTCAAATTCAAATTCATTTATTAATTTAGGTAATACAATGTACACTTATGAACGTCAAGAAAGAAATATATATTAAATTCTTCTTATTTTACATTTACTACCAGTTCTCAAATCAAGAGCGTAGAACGGACGAGAAGAACTGGCAATAAACTCTACGCCACTCTTTTTAATTGCCAAGTTTTTTGTTTTATAAAATGTTTGTGAGACATAATTAAGTAATTAACTATACAAATAAAAAAATATAAAGGAAAATAAACATAGAAAACAAAGATTTGTCCTCTATCAGCAGTAGGCATGGTGAAATAGGAGCACGCACTTTCATTCTCGTGGGAACAACAAATACATAGTCGAAATAGCTAACATCACCGCATACACGAATTCAACTCCGACCAGTCACCACAAGTTGCACCCGTTCACGAGTATGACGCATGGCCAGGCCAGCTCCCTCGCCATATTTTAAGGATAGAGACAACCCGATGCATGGGTATACCTGATAGCTCAACGTTAAAGTCCCAAAGTTTCAAAATAATTGCAAATTGAAGCCGTACAAACATACGTCTTGAATATGAAATGGGAATGGAATGACAAAAGGATTATATGCATTGCGTGCTACTTTAAGAACTTGAACTAAATACCTAAAGATCGTTAAGGTTTCTTCATTTAATTGATGTTACATTGTATAAATAGTCGAATTAGAAGTCCTTATCATATTGTTTTTATTTATTGAAAAATGCTGCCAGCGTTAAAAGTACAGTAATCCCCGGTGTTTCACCTCGACAACGCGGGGATTTCTAACTCTCTTGGACTCGGAATACTACTACAACGCGATTACCTATAACACGTTCCGGGTCTACCGCGTTACAGGGGGGACTGCTGTACTTGACTTTCCTTTTAGGTATAAACAGTCACTAAGTCGTCATGAAACGTTTTACTATAATTGGGTACAGAAAAACGTTACGGCGCGTTACATTGGGGGGGTGTCAATAATCTCCAAAAATTGCGTGACGTAATACTTGAACGCTTCCTAGAACCCTACGTTTTCCCTGATTAACATAGTTACATTAAACGTTAAAGTTACGGTTCTGTATGAAATTATACGATAGTGTATAGATGTAGAAACTACTAAAAAACATTTCTAAATCGCATACGCTGCGGTAATTATTGACATTAAAGCAAAGTGATGTATAACAGTTGAATAGAAGACATCAATATCTACAAAATGTGTCTAACAAAAAATTCTTCTTTTTGCATTTAAAAGCCTATTTAGAAAATCTCCAAAAAAAATATTGCCGCTGGAACTGCAGAGCACATCTAGACAAATAAAGACAATTAAAATCGTAATCATGGTAATAAACGCGATAATATCTAAAAGACCGTAATTGTTTGTACAAGGCTGTGCATAACACAGCTTCTACTTGTCCAAACCGTTGCGAGTAACCATAAATAACATAAAACACGATCCCCGACCTGTCCTATCTATGACTTTTATTGCATGTCTCAATTATTTATTTATTAACACTTCGTTGCACACAGAAATACAATTAACATAATGCAATGAAAAGGAGGGCAACTGGTGAAGGCAGGCAAACAATGTGAGAAAAAAAAAATAGAGAAGGCCAGCGCAAGAAGTGCAAAATTACGACAATAATAAGACATATAGCTATTTAGACATAACGAACAAAGTTTTTTATTTATTAACACTACTTCAGTGAACCGGACAATATTTAAAAAAAAGGACACATGAATCACGATTATTTTAGTGCAGTTAGTACGAAAGTTAGTTTAGTAAGTTATTTACATTTATTTTATAATACATATCTCTACGAGCCATATAAATGGCGAAATTAATACATATTGGTCCTTCGGGACGGAATTTCAATTTTTAATTTAGAAAACTCGGTAAAAATAATATAGCTTTTTCAAAATTATGAATCAGTGGGTAAAATACTCCGCACGGGACTGCTGTTTAGTTGTGCAGGTAGACACTGGTGCAGCGCGTACGGGGGAGCCCTAACAGCATGCTAGCGGTAATAGCGGGATTGCTCTTACTTGGGTCATTGCAAAGGACTGCATCTGGATGTGTGCAATAATTAAGTTTAAATTTTATAACTGAATATACTTTAAAATGAAAGCCTCATATTACAAACCTATCGGCAAGACTTAGTTCGGCTGCTTTTGCGATAAGAAAGATTAGATTGTTGTCTGATGTCGAAACGGCGAGGCTTGTATACTTCAGTTACTTCCATAGTGTTATGATATATGGTATATATTATTGTGGGGCTCAGTGGCCGATATTCAAGATATTTTTGTTTTACAAAAAAGAGCAATACGCGCGCGCTATATACAAATTAAAACCGCGTAACTCGCTAAGAGAATTATTTAAAGAGATTAGTATTTTAACAGTTGCCTCCCAATATGTGTACGAAAATATTGTGTACGTTTATAAAAACATTAATAAATTTATAAAGCGCAGTGACTGTCACAATTTAAACACAATAAGTAGGAATAGACTTTATTTTCCAGCTTTCAGACTTCATAAAACTGCTCACTCTGCTCATTATACAGATATTTAACAAGATTCCGGACCGTGTAACCAAACTTCCGATACATGAGTTTAAGCTTTGCATCAAGAAAACCCTAACAAAAGGAGGATATTACACTGTTCGGGAATTCATAGACGATGACAATGTGTGGGCTAGTGCCGCTAGTGCCGCTAGTGCCGCTGGAGAGTTGACATGCATAAGTGTAAAAATTGTAGCTAAATGATTAAATGACTTTTTGTTTGTTTGTTTGTTTGTTTAAAGCTACTAAAGCTTTTAAGCTATACAATAATGACGATATGAACTTATGATTGTCTGCTTAAATAAATAAATAAAATTATGTGCGCTCTTTCGTGCGAGCGAACGTGCAGCGGAAGTGACGTCAAAAATACGTGAAAAAAAATTACCGTTTCCTTTATCATCACGCTTCTTGGGCATTAACGGCGACTCAAGGGACTGCTTAGATATTTCCTTTTCCTTATCCAAATCGCCTTTAATAGAAGAGGCTGCCGAATCCCGCACTTGGATCTCCTTCTTTTTGGATGTTTGTATTTCTGCCAACCCGGGTACAGGCTTACTCGTATCTTCATACAACATGAAGTTCTGAAGACGTTTTATGGATATCGTCGCTTCGGCGACTTGTGCGATACCTAAAAATAATATACATATATATTAGAAGCGATAAATTGTTAGTAAAAAAATGCGTTAATTGAGTGGAAATTTAAATAATTTTCTATAACGTAAAAAATCTATATAAGGTATTTTAGTGGCTTGTTTGCCACCTATTACATAAAAATTGGAGGCTCATCTGATGTTAATTGATACCGCTGCCCATGGACACTCACATTGCCAGAAGACTCGCAAATGTGGTGCTGGCCTTTGCTAGTTTAGTTTATATTATAGTTAGTTTAGTAATAAATATAATGCTAATAACATTATGTCTTTAGGTGACACAATTTTTTTAATGTAACAGGAGGCAAACCGACATTAGGCTCACATACACTATGTGTATGTGAGCTCATTTCCCAGAAGGCTCGCAAGTGCGTTGCCGGCCTTTTGAGAATTGGTAGAACCTTTTTGAACCTTTTCAAGTTTGGGTTCCAAGACATGCCGGTGATTTCCTTCACCGTAAGAGGAAGTGTGATTCAATGCTCATATAGAAAATTCATTGGACTGCTGGAGGTCCAAATAACATCAAATGCTTGAACACCTATATATTCTATCTATATAAATATACATTTACGCCTCTTTCCCGAAGGGGTAAGCAGAGGATCAACTAGATCTCTACTTGCCACGGCCTTGACACGCCTTTCTCCCTTCCCTGTCATGACATTCACCATGCATAGGTATATTTTTGGCCTATCCCTACCCTAGTACCTTCTAGATTTGGTCCAGGTATACGACAAGAGCTACCCGACCCGTTCTCGGCATCCACGGTTGCCTTGTATACACGTAAAATTACCTTGAGGAAAGAAGACAGTCATGGTCTGTCTCAAAATATTGTAGAAACTGGTGACGACGAACACTTGCTTGGCGCTGATCACATTATTCTCCAAAACAAACGCCAGGATAGAGAAGAACAGACAAATCCTGGTGGTGAACATGATGAAAGACGTCAACACTCCTCGGATGTATGATGTTGCTTTTATCTGTTTTATTTCTTGCCTGTAATAATAAAGTTATTATTAAACTTTCCCTATGTAATGATCAAGTAAATTCAGCCTGGACACATTGAAAAGAGAATTATGGCTCCTTCAGTTAGTATATATAAGTTCGAGGGAAATTTACAAATTACAATAATACTTTCAATAAAAAATATAGATTCGGGAGAGGGTAGTTGGCTTTTTTATAAATAAACATTCTTTTATCTACCCTCCATAACCGGCAGATAAAACGTATAGCTCTTTTTTTTATTTTATTTATTAGGTCAGATTTATGTATCAGTTTCATGATCATTTATCAATCTAATATGCAAGTAGGTGATCTGCCACAGTCGACAGTCGACTGTGTGTCCATGACACACAGTCGACTTTTTGAGTAACCAAGCCGGTTTCCTCACGATGTTTTCCTTCACCGTACAAGCGAGTTAACTACACATATAGACAGACAGTCTATTGGTGTACAGCCAGGAATCGAACCTCGGACCTCAGGGATGAGACTCGCACGCGGAAGCCACTAGGCCTACACCGCTGAGAATTTTATTTGCTCGCGTAAAAGTCAATAATCTCGACAGAATAATCCATAAGCCAAAAAGCCTATGGCTTATAAGAATTAACTGGCCAAAATGTGTTCACATTAATCTGCTAAAGCCTTCTATGCAGATAAGAACAAAAGCTGTATCGCAATCAAATCTAAGATATAGTACCTACAATATTTAGGTTTAAACGTCGGTTTTAGGTTTACGTCACTTACATGAGAAAACAAATATTAAAAACATAAAAAGAAAAATATATCACGCCACCGTCGTACACGAAATAGGCGTATTCGAAACCGGTTCTCCGCTATTTCCCGAATCTTAGGGGCCAACTTCCCTAACTTCCTGTATGGAATAAAAACATAAACTATCTTGGCTCGAAGGCAAATTCAAATTCAAAAATAATTTATTCAAATAGTTAACAAAATGTACACTTATGAACGTCAAAAGATAAATAGATATGAAATGCTTCTAATTTTACATTCACTGCTAGTTCTCAAGGGCGTAGAACGAAAGAGAAGAACTGGCAATAAACTCTCCGCCACTCTTTTTAATCGCCAAGTTTTTTGCATTACACAATATGTTTGTAAGGAGCTGCAACCATTACACCATGTCCCACATGACATCTTAAGTAATGAATAATAATAAAATAAAAGGATCGATGCCTTATATGTAATAATAACGAAGTTTTAATAAATAATAAAAATAAATGGCGTTGATGCGCACGCGACTTATTTCTAGTTTATAGCTTAGCTCTTATTCTGCGTCGGCTTTAGATCTATGACATTTTATTCGTATAATGAACATGAGTCATTACAAAGTACAATCAATTAATAAGAATTTAGCCTTGTGCAGTTCAAATGTAAACCGCAATGTATTCATTTCGTTCATTAAAAGGAAACGAAAAACATTTTGCTCCTAATTCCTTAACAACAAGTTAATTATTGGATGTTCCCAGGGCTGGCATGATTAAAACATTTAAAAAATATGTTTATCACACTGAAGTGTCGCAATCGCAAAATTCATAATGAAATAAAATATTAGATTTTTTGGAGGAACCGCCGCACCGTTTGAGGGCCTTGACGGGGCCGGGATGTGTGTTATCTAACGTGATTGGATCATCTGGGTCCGTTAGAACATCTCGGGGGGTGCTGTCGAAGTGTGAAATATTATTATTATTATATCTTTTAGATATTTCAGTTAAGTTTTTTAATTGGGTTCGAGTTCGAGAGTTCTCTTAATATTGATACATGAAAAATAAAAAGTATGTAAGATCGTCAATATTAATACTAGCCAGATCTTATTTTAATGTTTCATACATAATAAAAAAGAATGTTTGGTTAAAACATTGCACTAGCCTCCATAAGATTCCTTGTGCCGTGACCCCGTCTCTTCCATTTGATATTTTAACAGTACTAGACAATAATATCTGCATAACACTTACATTTTATAAATAAACTATTGTAGTACAAGAATTTTCCATTTCAGCATAGGACTGAGAGGTTGTTTAATATAGTTAGTGAATGTACAAAGTTTTGAATCGTTAGTGAAAAGACTTACTTCCTGGCCTTAGCCACCAAATCCGCGAACGGTTTCTCCCATGTATACATCTTTATAACTTGTATACCAGAAAGGATTTCGTTCATCAAACGAACTCTCTCATCTGTACGAAGGGCTGTTTTCAGTCGGAGTACGGAGGTCCGCTTGCCCAGGTATGCTGAAAAGAGAACAGAACTGATTTATCCCGTAAAATTACCGTCTCACATATAAAGCTATGTTTGATTTACTTATCAGTATTCCTACAGCTACTTATTATTCAAAATCTAAACAATTACATTGTACACAAAAGCCAAAAACGGAATACACATTCAAACAAAAACAAAACAGTTAACAATTATTACCTACTTATACAAAAAAAAATATATATATATAAAATTCTCGTGTCACAATGTTCGTTCCCATAGTCCTCCAAAACTGCTAGACCGATTCTTATGTATATTCAGTAAGTATGAGAATCAGCTAGTATCTATCTTTCAAACCCCTAAATGTTAAGGGTGGTCCACCCCTAAATTTTTATTTTTTAGATATTTTTTTTTTTATTATTTGTTTATGATACAGCATACAAAAATAAATACAACCCTTAACCTCTATTTTTTGTTTGATCATTAAAATCTTATGACTTGAAATCAGAGGTTATATGGAGAAAATTTCAGAGATAAACCAAAAAAGTTTTCATTCCAGAAACCCGAACAGTCTCTGGGGTGGCAAAGCAAAATGTTCCATGTTGGTATGTAGGTACTAAAAAGGTAGGCTAATATCACATTAAGGAGAAACGAAGTTCGCGGGGGCAGCTAGTATATATATAATAAATTGCATTGATAATTATAATATGTTTAATATAAAACAGGAATAAAAAAGGCATTATGTCTAATAATACAAGAGTTTTTTTTATATTATTTTTTAAGCATTTTTAGTTATATTAAATATATCTATTTGCTGGTAATGTGTGTTTAGTCTGAAGGTATAACATGAATCAGTTACGTAAATAGTTTGTATTAGACCGAGGATTTTGAAGTAGTTGGGTTTGCTTTGTATTGTATGAAGGACAGTCAATTAAACCGTTGCAAATAGCGTGTAAAAACATCAGCTCATATTGTTTACGTCTACATTCCGGGGATCCAATACCAAAGCACTTGCAGGAAACTATATAGCTACTACTTTCGGAAATCCATAAAAATTAAGAAACTTTTTTTTTTGGTTCAATGTATTTCTTGTAGATTGGGGACCAAACAGTGCATGCATAATCTAGTGTGCTCCTAAGTACAGGCATTTTATGCATTATTTTTTAAAAGATTTGCATACACGTTTAACGAAGCCATATTTAGATACTGTTATGTTATCTATATGACCTGAGAAACACATGTTAGTGTAATTATTTTTCTGAAAATTTCCTTTCTTTGTAAAAAGAGTTTCTCGAACTAAAAGTCTATATATCTGCTACTTTGAATGGTCCAATAGGCTGTCTCGCTCTTACAACTTGATTAATAACATCGATGAAAAATATTGATGTGTTTTACAACAGTCTTCCAACTTACCGTAACTTTGTTAGTCATGCTCTAAATTATGTTTGAGTTTTCATTTAGTTTGGGTAATTATATATATATATATATATTATTTATATATATATATATATATATATTTTTTTTAATTTTTAGATTAGTTATGTTCTAATGTAATTGATGGGTATGTGTGTTAAATTTGTGATGTCATATTTTCTTGTACTTTTTGAGGCATACACATTGTTTTAGGACGTATAAATAAATTAATTAATTAATTTAACTTCACATGTTCTTTTTGATCCTAAGCGCCTAGTTAAAGCAAAAGTTTGTGTTCATTTCTGGAGGTAGTTTTAATTTGCGTTCCCTTGACAATCTAATTCATGAAACCCCTACATAGAACTGAATTCTATCACTCCTCTACTGTCCAAAGTATCCTGCTTTGGAACTTCCTACCTCTTGATATCAGACTTTAAATTTATTTAGGAATCGTCTTTATGAGCATTTCTCTTCTGTCTCGTATCGTATTTATTGAGTTTTTAATGAGTCATTCATTATCCTTTTCTACATTTTAATTCAGTTTAGATTTAGTTATTTCATGTAAATTTATATATTTTTGTTAAACAGAAAGTTTATATTTAGCTGATCGATTTAAAGTACACATTTTGAGAATTTATTTCTTAAAATAATACCATCCAACTGTACTGACCCTCGCGTTATTACCAGGAAAGTTTTGAAGTTCAGACACCAAGAAGTCGTCTAACATTTTCACAAAACGCTCTGATTTGAAATGTAAACTTTCTTTTGATACACCTGTTACTTTACCCACAGTAGGTGTTTCTTTTTATTTTTCTTTACTAGGATTGCCTGGAGAAATCGCTTGTTACCGGCCATCCGTTGCCTAATAACTTTTTTTTTTGTTTAAGGTAAATAAATCAATAAAATATATATAAATAATTGTGACTGTATCACCTAGAGCTCATTTTCATCTAATGAGGTCAAATTCAATAAAGCAGGTATATTACAAAATATTTATCACTTAAAAACTCGGTTATCTTTCAATAGTGACAAAACTATTTCTAATATTTAAAAAGATTGTTTGTTATACACTGTATTGACGATATAATTACTCTTTAGACATCAGGAAAATAAATCAAAAATTCACACTGGTAATAAATTATGAAAATATGACTACTTTGACTACATTGAGGCCTTACTACGAGAGATGTTATGGATATGATATTTCGGATCTGGATACGGATATGGATATAGGAATAAAATTATATCTGTTTCGGATATGTAATTATTTCCGATTATCCGATAGTTGCAAATACAGTGTAAACTCTATATAACGACACTCAAGGGACTGTGCATATTTTAACGTTACAGAGAGTTAAATAGAAAGTAGAAAAATCTAGAAAAAGAAAAAGTTTATTTCAGACTAGTGTTAGTAATTACATAAAAAACAATTCTTATTTGAACGCTATTGCATATAGTCTGTTATTTTCGTCTGACGCCTTTTGCTGCACCAGAAATTATGATGTATTTTTTTATTTATCTTGCGATATTGAGGCATCTTCGTGATAAATCACGCTCAAGCAATCCCAATTTGTAATCAAAATAATGGATTTCTTAGAAAGTTCGGTACGTATGATGACGACAGTCGAGTTTATTACGGGCTAGGACAAGAAAGCGACAAAAGAACGTACACAGCTCCGCAGTTTTAACTAATTTCGACAACTTAAAAAGTACTTTTTATTATTTAATTGTCGTTATTGAGAGTGAATGTAATGCTATGTAGAATGTATCATTGTGTGGAAGACAAGATAAACCAACCAAAGCCGAGAGTTTTCGACGCTTTAGGGAGTTCGTCTTTAAATGGAAGGACGTTACATGGAGTTTTCACTGAGTTTCGGTTACGGTTATTAGATTGAAGTAAAATATAAACACAAATAGTACGTAATAATTTAGTTTTATATATAGGTTTGATCTAGTCTAGGTTATCAGTTGGTATTATCATCGGTCATATAGGTAAGTAATTATTATAAACCTCCTCAGTTTTATCTATTAAAATAAAAGTGCAATAAATTAGTTTTACAAAAACATTTAGCTTTATACATTGCACATATTAACCTATAACCTATGTATACCATAATAAATGTTTTCTTTTTAATTCTTTTTGTGAGTACTGAAACCATTAACAAAAATCTGTCGAGACATGTAGTTTTATCTACATTTTAGACTCCGACCTTATCCGAAACTATCCGAAAGTTGTGAAACGGATACGGTTACGGATATATATTTATTTCGGATATCCGATTGTTTCGGTTACGGTTACGGAGCTCTATAACATCCCTGCTTACTACATATCTTGGTATGACTTTGAGGTTTCAAAAACTAACACAGGCACAGTGCACGATCATAACAACTTTCAGCTACACAGCTCACTCATTCATTTAATCTGTAACACTACATTTTTTAACAGTATTAAACATGTACCATGTACCACGGAAAAATTGTTGTGCTAGCGATATATGAGTTCTGTCATAACCCTTTTGTCATTAATAAAGTTTTAATTATTATTATTTTTCTTGAAGGCCTAAGTCTAATGTATAATCTTAATATATATAAATTACGTGTCACGTTGTTTGTCCGCTATGGACTCCTGTATAAATAAATTTGCACACCGTGTGTAGTTTGATCCAACTTAAAAGATAGGATAGCTTAAATCTCAATTTATACCCGCAATGTAATTTTATTGCAAATTATTTGTTTATTATTTGATAGTCACAATTCTAACAGATGGCGCTGTGTTGAAAGTACCAACGTTTCATATAAGCTACAATTTACGTTCACTCCTCTACGATCAACCCCTATTTTTTATTATTGTAGATAGTTATTTTTATTGAACTTAAAAAAATGTTTCCTAGAAATAATATACATGGCAAAACAGACGTTTGCCGGGTCAGCTAGTATTATATATTATTCTAGATTAGCCATCCTCATTTAATAGACTTTTAGAGTATCGCGAACAGATATACAGACACGGAAAGGGACTTGTTTTTAAATATAAAAGCTACACTAGGCTACAGCCTATAAAAGTGACCTTGTTAAATCAAGGCATATTCCGGGAACGCACTCGCGAGCCCTCTGGCATTGAGAGTGTCCATGGGCGGCGGTATAACTTAGCATCGGATGAGCCTCCTGCCGGTTTATAAAAAGAATAGAAAAAAAATCTTTTCATTTTCATTTTTTCGGGTATATTTATAATATAAAATTTTGACAGCTGGTAGCGACCGCTAAATATTTACAAAAAGAAAAACAAATAACACGTATTCATATTATAGATAATATATATAGGTATATAGATATAATCAAATGAGAAAGTGGCCCGAGGATAATTCGAAAAATAAGGACCACTATAATATATATATGACACAACTAAGCTATTTATGTATAAGTCTTTTACATATCCATCTCTTTAATCGTGACTTTTGTAATTATAATATATTTGTACACAATTTTTTGTAAGTGTAAATTTATATTTTTTTATGTACATATTTTAGAAGCATTGGTATTCATGACTCCTAATGGGTATAGGTTTTGTAATTGTTTAAGTATACATATGTTATTTTGTTTTTTTTTAAATTTAGTTTTGCAC